GTTATCTTAATAACCAAAACGTCCTAAGAATTTCTGGGTACTCACTGTCGGACGGCGAAGTAGAAAATAAAAAATGATATATTGTCTGTCTACATTGGAGTGAGAAAATAAGCTGAAATGATGTGAAACATTAGAAACCTATAATCGAATCAAGATATTGGGAGCATTAAAACACATGAACACTAAAGAACACACAAGGGAATAAAATCGTTAATCTTTTTTTGTTAGTTCAATATAATTAATGTATCTAAATTTTTTGGTAAAATATATATAAAGTACTAACATTGGCCCAGGATTTATAGAACTGAGCAAGCATTATTCTGACATCAATTTAAATCCAACAAATATTTAATTCTTGGATTTAATGAAGATTAAGTAATGACTAATAGCTAAGAATTTAAGATAATCTTTTTAAGTAAATTCGTATCATTCCTAAATTTAAAAGATTTATTTTCACAACAATAACTATATAATGATGTAAAACTATTGTTGAGATTGCCAAGTTAATCATTGATAATCATGAGGACTCTTTCCCGCCTTGCCAGAAATAAGCTATATCCACAATATATCTATAGATATATAGATAAAATGAATTCAGCCACCCAAGTAAAGTGATTACTGAATAGAACGTCAAATATAACTTTTTAGAACCTTGGTATATTCATATTTTGATGATGTTTTACCCACTGAGAGCATCAGAGTTCTCATGGTTCAGAGACAAAGCGTATCCAGTTTAGATAAACATCAAAACCATTAACACCTTTTTGGCATTCTTAAAATATTAGACAATAAAGAAATTAGTTTATAGTATTTAAAAATTATATATAAATTATCTATACAGTCGATAAAGAAATTAACTCTCAGAAAGATAAAAAAATATCACTATCAAGTTGATTAGGTATGATATGATATCCTGTGAGTATAGATCGACTACTATACTGCTGCGTTATCTTATATCCACTCATCCAAAGATACTCGAATGATTCAAATTTTGTAGATAATACCTCAATATAGTATAAATATTACTACTGTGTCGCTTTTCAAAAAGGGTTTTAATTTAGGAAGGAATTCACAATTCTCGAACATAATTATACAAAGGTTTCAGTTGAAAATAGGACTCCCTCATTAGTAATCATATCCAATTTGTCCTAGCTACTATAGGATGTTGCTTTAATTAGTTTTTTAATTATATATGGTTCATAAATTCATATAACCTCAATAATTGAAATACTTTCACTTTTTATATTTTAAATATTTAGGAGAGACCACACAATAGAGATTATATTAAAAAACAATGGAATATAAATATTAAGTACAATCAAAATGTAATCAACTTTTGTTAACATCATGTATCTCCGGTCATAAGAGGAAGAAAAAGGGTCAATTGCAAATTTGAATTAAACCATGAATGTTTGCACACAATATTGACTTCTATCAAGCACATTAAATGCTTTATTTGGACTTTTATCAATTAACAAACAGTTATTTGATTTTCAATAATTGATAACTCGAGTTAGTCTAAAATCTATGGGTTGTTCATAAATAGAAACACACCAAAGCCAATTCTTTAAATATTTAATTTAAAACAAGAGCTCATGAACACCTTGTATAAAATGTATTATAATTTAATGGTGTAACCCACCATAGTCGGTAAGGACGAGAAAATACTACTTAACTTTTTAATAGGAAGATGTAGAAAATTATGATATAATCCGATTATAAATTTAATAGATTATTTTAAAGAAAATCATTTGTTTTATGTTTCGAGTTTGTTCATATTTGTTTTTTTAAAAATAAAAGGTATTTATTATTTACTTTTCTTTCTTATATTAATTATTGAAACGAATAAGAATAATATTTTTAGATTAATGAATTTAGATATAAATTGTGTGGTTAAAAATTATTTCCTTTATTAGTTTTTATTTACAGAAGAAGAGAACTCAATGGGGTTAAATATCCATAATAGGTTATTACAAACTTATCGGAATAATGTGCCAACTATTCTCACCCCATGCCTTCAAACTATAGCACCCTCTCATTATTTCTCACAAAGCCCACATTATTTGCCAAGCTTTCGTGCGTTCTCTTAAAGTGACACGCATCGCTCGCTTTTTATGGAGAGACGGTTTTTTCCTTTCTTTCTGAGACTTTACAGGAAATCTCGACTCATTTAGACAAAATTAAGAAGTCGCTCTTGCCTTTTTAACCAGATACAGTTGAGATTAATTTCTCGCATTTTAATCCAATAATTTTTTCACAAGAGAATGTTTGACGAAAATACCTTTTTGTTTAGCGCAGCATGTTCTTGACCTTCAAATTCTGGGTCTTTTCAACATTTCATACTTGTTGATATGGACAAATGGTCAATAATGTTTCCATGAAAAAAGTCCTCATTTTACGTGTAAGAGCGAATGAGTCCAAAATAGGGAAGAAAGAGCAGCATTCGTCTTATAAGGCACTATGTTCCTCATTAAGATACCAAAACAAGCAGTTGATTTCCTTTCCCGAAAATAAATATTAAAAAGAGAAATGTATTTGCGTTTCATAAATCCTTTCTGGTTTTCCCTGAAATATCTTTTCTTTATTCCCTTTTATGCTCTTCCTTTCTCTAAGACTATTTAATAGATTGAGAATTAATAGATTATCTTCTCTTCATTTAGGTACAAAGAGAAATTTATATTATAATGAACCTATCTATATGATATTTCATCTTGGTTAAGCTCTTGTTTATTCAGTTTAAATCAGACGTGGATATTCTCATGTTCGTTTCCATGAGATCTCGTGAATCAATCACTAAATATGATTTGTATCTAATTTTCGATTTTATAGATATCATAACTGGGTGAAAACTTTTCCCAGACAACTTTAGTTGTCTTGTGAGAATTCGTGTAAGTTCTTTATTTAGGTAGTGAAGTAAATGTTTTGAAAGGCGCCTCTTTTTCTCTCAATAGAATATTACCATCTTGCTTTTTGTCGCAAAAATGTCTAAAAAAGTCATGTTTTGGAGTTCTTTTTCAGAATAGTGATAAGTGGAATTATTTTATTTCTAACGCAAAAGAAAATTTTGAATTGTCCAGTGTTCTTATCGCACCTAGAAACAATCTCCAACCCTTTGCGCGCCCATTATATCTTAAAGTATAATGAATGCAAAATTAAAGAGATTACCGAAAAATATAGTGATTAATTTAATTCTTTGGTGTTTCATTTTATAGAGTGGAGATATTTCTAATAACCTTTTTTGATAAGATCCTGGTTGGAATAATCCTTGTTTACCATATATTTTGTATTCACTTTGTATAGTAAAACGAATGAAGAACTTATTTTTTGTTCACACTATTTATAGTGCAGAAATAACTCCTGTATGTCTAGCCCCTTTGTGCTAAGAAGTGTGCCCTAATTCAAATTAGCACATAAAAGAATCTAACCTCATAAAATAATCTATTATTATCCACCTTAACTTCAAAATATATATATATATATATATAATTAATTGTATGATGATTTCTTTAAAATAAAATTTTAAATATTAAAAACTTTACATTGTCAAAATATCAAATTATTTAAAATTATAAATTGAACCAAATCAATCCAACAGAATCAAATCAATTTTGGCTAATTATGGTATCTTATAAGCTAATTTGGCTGCGGAATAAATAAATATTTTTACATGGACAACGAAAGGGACATAAATGAAAATTATAGAAAAACACAACACTAAACCCAAGGATAAACTTTTTTTTTTAGTTAATATTTCACATTTTTGTAAAATATATAATCATGAGGATAAGAATGGAGCAAGCATTAAACAATTATTTGGATGTTGTAATGATAAGAATTAGACTTTTTTGTTCATAATTAAATATTCAACAACTATGTCTTTATTGATAATCATTATAAGTTTTCTGGAACATAATTAATTATAATAAAATACCACGTCATTACTTTCATATTTTGATATGTTACCGAATAAATATTTATATTTTAAAAATTATATAATTATATCGATAGATTCTCAAAATTTAATTAGGTAGAATCCTTAATATAGATAAATTGTTATACATGTGATCAATTAAATAGAGAAAATCATGTGCTTATTTAGATTAATTGCTATTTTCTAAAAGACCTATTATACTAGTTAGTGCTTAATTAGTTTTTTTCGTAATTCATATCATTAAATAATTTATATAAATAACAAATATTATTTAAAAAAATGATATAATAAGATAATTTCTTTTACAAGATGGAAGAAAAAGGAATTAAAATTAAAGATGGATTACAAGAATATTTTGGATTTTATCAATTAACTATGTTTTATGATATGAGAAATTGGTTCATAAATTAGACCAAACATTAATTATAAGGTTCCTAAATTATAATTTAAGTTAACACTGTGGTACGGATACTTTATATGGAAAGACGAAATATGTTAATAAAATAATAATTTAAAAATATTTTAGTTTGTTTTTTAAAAAATAAAAGGTTTTATATATTAATATGACCATATAATTTAAGGATTAATTTATTTTTTTCCTTTTATTTATTAAAGAAAATGGGGTTATTCCAAGTTTTACTTACTAATATGCCACTTTCTCCAGCCCTTGACCCCTCAACTACAAAGCCAATTTGCCAACTTTCCCTCCCTGTCCTTGGCTTTTTCTTTCTTTCTGCTTACGCACACAAAGAGCGCAGCCTTAAAGAATTTGAGTTCCCATTAAATTTCAGAGTGCATTGGCAGCAGTTCTTGACCTTTCCAAATTCTGGGTCTTTTCAACAATTCATATGTGAAGACATGGAAAATGAGAAAAAAGCCATGACTGATGAGTCCAAGGAAGCAGCTTCCAGCAGCAGTAACGCAGTTGATCCTCCTATTAAAAAAGTATTGCTTTCTTGTTTCTTCTTTTCTTTCCTTTTGCTTCTTTCTCTGCTTTTATTGTTTTCTCGAAATTTTTTAGCCTTTTATATTCACTTTTTAGCTGTATATCAGCTGGAATCCATCGTTATCTATTCTCTTTGACTATTTTTAGAAACTGTGAATTTCCCAGCCCTTGTGTCTGTTCGTGGGTTTTCCAAAATTCTCTGCTTGTCGCAATGTCTAAAACATGTTTGGTTGTCAGAAGGAATGTTTCAGAGAATTAGTCCATGTTCTTTGCCTAAACAATAACTTGGCGAACTTAGAAGTCAAATTCTTGATTTAATCTTGTCATAATGTGATTCTACTGTAGTCCTGGTGGAAATCCTTGTTAAAATTTTCACTTTGTTCTTAACATACTTTCCATTTGCGGATACCTTCAGCCTTTGGAGCCCTAATCATTAGCAAAAGTCAACTAATCATTTTTCATTATCATTTCCTCTAGCCTTTATCCAATTATAATGGTTGGTTTTAACAGAATTACTTTGATTGCCTAAACATGTCATATTATGTTATTCTTTTATTATGTTGTCTTTGTGCTTTGTTGCTTAACATGTTTGGCATTGTCTTTCCTATGTAATCTTGCTGTGTCCGTGGTTGGCAGCCAATTGCTTTGTTGCAGAACCATAATATATACTAAGTGATATTTGCTTTATTTTATTTTGTACTTGTTCTTCCTTCCTAGATCGGAGATTCAACGGAAATAATTGAGGAAAACACGGAGAGTCAACAGCAGAGGCAACAAGACTTTGTCTTAGAGATACCAACAAGAACTTTGGAGGATGCACGAGAAGAATTTGTGCCAGTTCAAATGCCTGCAGCACCAAGTCCTACCCCCAGAAGGGTAAATTTTTCTCCCATTCCTAGCCCCAGCTTTCTAAAAACGAATGATCCCTTAGATCCTCCTACATCGAAAACTAAATCAACCATAAGAAGTCTCCTTCCAAAGTTAAGTTTCAAATATCGGAATACCACTTTGGATATTGAAAAGGCTGCTATATTAGCACTAGGAGGTTCATTTGTGGCAACAGAGAAGAAGCCTTTCCTTTCTAGGACAGTCTCTCTCACAAAGCTTTTTACACCTAGGACAAAGAGGACCTCATCCTTACCAGTTACCCCTGTTGCTCACTCCAATCCAGAGTCTACACATGGAGGATATGCTATCAATCCATCAACTTATTCTGTGAGTATTAACTCTTATTGAGCTTTGAACATCATGGCGTGTTTAAGAATGAAGAAAAGTATTGGCTGTTTAAGCAGTCTACTGATGCAATGCGAGCATCAATGCAATGAAAATATTGTTTTTATAACTTAATTACTGTATGCCTGTCATAATCTATTTGGATTATTTGTGATAATTACATTCTCTTTCTGATGAAGACCCTTATTCTTTCACTGATTAATCAATACTTGTTAATAATTCCTGTCACATTTTGGAAATTCCCACTCTCTAACTTCAATTATGTTCCAGAACTACCTGGAAGTTGCATGCTTTAGTCCCTTTGAATTTATCAAATCCCTGCAGGGATGGCTATGAATCAGTCATTGAGTCATTCCATGACTTCTTGTGTGTCTTAACATAATAACTCTCTGCTGCTTTTCAACAACCTCAGAAAATGGGTATGACAATGTGACCAGCGTAGTTTCTCATGAAATTGTCCCGGTAGCCAGTTTGACTTGGCTCCTTATAGCATGTTATGCATCCCACAACACACCTTTATTGTCAGAGAGCTAAAGCCTGGAAGCCTAGTTTCCCTAGTCAATTATGTTTCATCATAAATCAAACTGATGTAAACATATATTTGCATATGCATTTACTTATGGCATTGCCAGTGGTTCTCCACTTTGTAAAGCATTTTTCCTATCCAATGCAACTTCTTAATCTTTCATTATTTTCTTGTGTTTCTGCATCTGAGCTAGTGATGCATCAGTTTCTGATCACACTTTAAATAATATACATAATTTTCCTTGCCAGTCGTTTGCTTTTACTTATTTGTTTGTCTATGTATATGTAAATTGCATTTATGTACATCTTTTCAATTAATATACATTTTTCAATTCGGTTCACAGAAAGCAGATGCCCAAAAACCCATTCACCGTTCACAATCTGTCCCTGTGCTTAACAAAGTGGGAAGTATAAGGCAGTGGGATTCTTCAGGTGGCATATTTCGTGTGATTCCAACTACTCCACGAGCAGTTGAGGTGGTCACGTCAACACCAATGGCATCCCCCAGGGGTAATAATGGTAAATTTATAACCACACTTGTCTCAAATTTCCCATTCGTACTGCTCCCTCCACATCCTTAGAAAGTAAAGGCAGTAGGGATCAGGAGTTGGTGGGAGTGGCTAAATTTGATTTTCTTGAGATCCATAGCTTCTTGTGTTGGGTAACCAAAGAAAACTTCTTCGGTGAGTATTAAGATGCCTCTATGAGTACTATTAAGACATCTTATTAGAATCATCATAATTTGGAATTGGTTTATATCATCTAAAGCTTTGATCTCAGTCATGTCAGTTCAAAATTCAAACTAATAATAGTACAGTAATATATGAGATCTTGTAGCTGGATGTGATTTTCTCTTGGAAGTAATAAGAATAGTTTGAGCATCATGGAAGGAAATTTTTAATTTTTGGAACTAGTTTAGCTTTCTGCTAACTATTTACTCTGTACGTCAATTGGGAATAATGATTAATGATTGGATATTACTAATTGCCTGCATTTTGAGCTGTCACCTGCAATTCTTACTATTCTCAAGTAACTTGTGATGACCAACCTTTGCCTTATCTTAGCCTTGTGGTACAGATGAAAACAATGATAGCGGTGAAAATATTCCAGAAGAAGAAGCAGTTTGCAGAATCTGCTTGATTGAACTGGGGGAAGGCGCTGAGACCCTCAAGATGGCATGCAGCTGCAAAGGTGAACTTGCACTAGCCCACCAAGAATGTGCGGTAAAATGGTTTAGCATAAAAGGTAACAAAACATGTGATGTATGCAAGCAAGAGGTCAAGAACCTACCAGTTACTCTTTTAAGAGTTCAAAATTTTCGAGGAGGTAGAGCTCGGTCAGCTGAAATTGCTCAATACAGGCAAGAAAAGCTATTATTCTTCTGCGATGCAATTGTTACTTGATACCTGTCTTTTTTCCATTTCCTTCCAAGGGCGTTCTTCCAAAACATGATACACAACATTCACTGTAAAGAATTGAACTTACATATAACATACTGTAGTTCGTAAGTTTCAGGATTGAAAACTTCTATTCATGATATTTATGGAGTAAGATCCAAACACCAGCTGACTGAAAGGTCTAAGTCTAATGGTTACAAAAAATGGAGTTCGGGCCAATATATTCTTTGAGAGTCTATAGTGCCTTGGAATAAGCATGTATATATATTTCATGATTTAATTGAAACATTAATATAATGGTATATGTTCTGAATTGTGTGAGGCACTTAGGAATATAGTTTAGTCTAATGCACGGTTTAATCAAGGCAATAACCTGGCTTCTATGAGTTTGAATTCTGTAAATTCACCTAGTAAGTTAGGTGGTTTATCATAACATAAACTTTTTTTCAGGGTTTGGCAGGATGTTCCCATTCTTGTCATTGTCAGCATGCTTGCTTACTTTTGTTTTCTGGAGCAGCTTCTGGTAAGTAAAGTAAATTGTAAATCCTGTTCTTCATGCATATCACTGTTGCTAACTTTTCTGTTGGACAGGTGGCAAAACTTAAGTCTGGTGCAATTGCCATTTCTCTCCCATTTTCCTGTATAATGGGACTGCTTGCATCCATGACATCGACAACAATGGGTAGGCCTGGTTTTGCATGTGTCTGGCCAAATATTCTGTTTTAGTGAGTTTGGTCATCTAATTTGTGTCTCTGTTTCTTCCGTTGCATTTTGTGCTCAGTAAGGAGAAGGTATGTCTGGGTTTACGCAACTGTTCAATTTGGATTGGTTGTCCTATCTGCTCATCTTTACTACTCATTAGTAAGTGATTTTCTGTTTAAACTAATTGTTTAAAACTTGTTTGTTCTTCTTCACAATAAGATAACTTTACTAGGGATTAGTTTTCCTGAACACATTGGTCAAAAATCTGTTAAACAACAATCAGTTTTTGTCTTCTGAATTATTGCATGAAAAACTATTTAGTGAAGACTTAGTATTTACATTAATAGTTTCATATGTTTCTGCTGCATCATCTTCAGATGCATATGCAGGCTGTTTTGTCAGTTCTCCTCGCCACATTCACTGGGTTTGGAGTTACAATGTCTGGAAGCACTGTTCTAGGTGAGATTTTCAGATTGAGGCGAAGATGGCTTGATCGACAAAATGAACACCTTGGATCACAGAGTGCAACACGGCCAGATCAACTACCTGCAGCTGCTAATCAGACAGTGACAAATCCTGACCGCATACAATTTGAAGTAGGAGGTTCAGAAACTACACATGGTATATAATTTGGTTTAAATTATGTTGTTTTGCTGCCATATCCATTGGCATAAACATTATGGGTTGTGCTGTTTAGGGTACATACATATATATATTATATATAACACAAGAAAAAGCTGTATTCCTGTGTGTTTTTTCCCCCTTTTACTATGCATAGTTGGAAGCTTTTGGGTGTATAATATACTCTTTTTTTTTTTTTCTTCATGAAACATGGTGCCGAAAACATGAACTGTAATTGTCCTAAATGTGAAACCGAAGGCATTGAAAATATCAATGGTTAACTGAATATAACTCTTAAAAAAATTACACAATATAGTTATCCAAATATCGTTTAAAAAATTATAAAAATAGAAAAAAAATACGATTTTCTAAGAATTTCTTAATTTTGAATTTCTAAACAATTTCTATTTCTTTGCAAAATTCACATAAGGACAAACCTCATAACCTAATGTAAGTGTAGAAAAATGTCACTTTACTCACTAAATTGGTGAAAACTTTTGTAACTTTGAGAATACAAACAAATAAAAGAGGGTCCTTGTGACAATCATCTTCCAGTCAGAGACGCATTATGTGTTTGACTAGAAGTTGCCACAGCAAATTGCGTAGTGTAAATCATAATGCCCCGGACAGATAAAACCCACTAAACTATGTATTTGAGTCATTGCAACAATCCACTCAATACAGAGTGGATCATGCTTTTGTTTTCCTTCCTCTTTTTGTGGGTCTATTAGGAGAGGAAAGAGGGGTAAAAAAAAAGAGGACGCATATATCACCCAAATGACGATAAAAGGAGAGCGAGAGAGAAAAAAAAAAAAAAAAAAACGAATAAAGAGAAGCCGAGAGAGAAAAAAAAAAAAAAAAAAAAAAAAAAAAAGTAACAATCAAGGCATTTGCTTTCACAAGCACTATGAAAGGCTATTGGAGCAAGTAGTCCTCACCATATTAAAACAGTCATTGTATGGCTCTTATTAGTCACTAGCACCTGCTACAGTATCTATGCACAGGACAAGCCACAGGTCTCAATTTATAAAGAAAATTACAAATAAAAGGGCCAATAGGCAAATAAGTGTTCTATAGTCATTACATGAAGCTGCTACTGTTAGTGTTTCACCAGGATAACTAAGAGGTGCATTACATTAGTAACATCACTAAGAGAATTAAATGAACATTCACCTATAAAAGAAACAGAAATCTCAAAGGAACAACTTCCAATTATTCCTGTCAGTAACTTTTTAAATCTATATAGAAATTTATCCTAGAAACAGCCGTTTTGTACTTACAATGGAGGTACCCTCCCTCCACAGCTCTTGTAATGCCATCAATAGCACTTTATATCCCTAAATATACAATTGAAACCAATTGATTTATCTCACTGAAATCAAATTACTTTCCCCCAGTGCCAATTGTGAGAATACCAACAGGCTGAAACAGAACGGCCACACTAGCAAATAGAAATACAAATCCACAAAAATAAGAGATTGGCTTTGCCTCAGATTTCATGGAAGTTTGGTCATTGTTTATAACTTGAATTCCCAACCTTACTTGATAACAATGGCTTGTCCTTGAAACTGCTACTTAAGACGGTTTCAGAGTTGCCTGACTGGCTCTCTGCAGCACCAGGTCTCATCCAGACTTTTATGTGGCCCTCTCGACAAACAGTAAGAACAGATTCCTGAGTAAAAATCAAGCCAGAGAGTGGTTCCGTGTGGACACGATGTGCAACTAGTGGGGACAGTTTTGGTACATCTCGCATGCTTGGAGCAGGTTGCAGAGAACCAATCGGGACAATACTGTCCCAATGTGATGATTGACTTCCTGTACTGAAAGTAGGAGATCCACCAGGAGGGCATCGGCGTAATGGCACAACAATCTCATCCATTTCTAAGTCCCACAGAAGCAATTGTGTGTCCTGTTGAGAGACAGGCAATTTGCAATAAGATAAATAATGGGGAGCAAAAAGCATGCCGCAAATATGAAGCGTCAGTAGCTGGGGAAGACCTAGCAAAAGAATATAACACAAGATCATAGAGAGATCACAAGTTATCATATTGGTTCTTAAAGCCCCGAGGTTCAACTCAAACCACTCTTACAACCTAAGCACCTCAGGCATTGTTCTTCTCTCTATGCCCAAATTATCCTAGCCTCTTTCCAAGTGTTCAAAGAATAATATAAAGGAGAGATTCAATTTAGTACATCCAATAATCTAAACCCTTCCATTTCTCCTTTTGGGTTAAGCATACTCTTGCTTAAAGATATTACATAAAATTTCATCGCTACTCATCCTGCTCTAAATCAATCTTTTCACCTACTATGAGCTAGGCTAATTTGACACTGATGCATTTCTGCTTTGGAAAACAGCACAGAGCATTCAGGTCAAGTGAAAAAAATATGATATAATAATTTTTCAACCTAATCAAGTAGTGGTTTAAAGCATGCACTCACATTCTACACAAACGAATTGATCATCTATTGAACAGCATTATTACATTCTAGCACATTGTTAATCTCTGCTTTAACATTAATCATCAAGAAGTAGCTTCCTGTGATTACTAGTCCAATCTAACATTTTCTTTTTTTCATCAATCTTTGCTTTAACATCAATTATCAAGAAGTAACTAACCAATCCTCACAATCTATGCTTGTCATCTTAATAATCAACTATCTATGGCACTTTTACCACCAAAGTGACAATGTGCAGGTATCACATATAAGTGCCTTGTAAGCACCCAGATTTTAGGAAAATTGAATTTGAAGTTAATATGCAACAACTTGAGGAAGAATCTCCATGAACATTTACTTGTTAGATCAAATGCTTATAAATACCTGACCCACAGATCCAAAACGATACATTATAGTCTCCCCTGTACCATCTGAATTTGGTGATGACCAATATGAATCAAAGGCTACTCCACTAACCTGCCAGCATCATCAAGGACTGGATAAGATGGTCCTAATTTTGCGCAATTACCAAATAAAAACATCATGCAATGACAAACTTACCCATGAGTTGTGCCCCTCACCCCATGCCACTACCTTTCGATCTTCCATACTCCAAACTTGAACTAAATCATCTTCACCTCCAGTCAAAATGTATTTTCCATCCATGCTGATAAGCAACACTTTGTCAATCATATAAAAATGCCAAACAAAGTGCAACGAGTTGCAGCTTGAACATCAGTAAAAGCCAGTTACCTCCATGCACAACATAGAAGAGCACCATAATAGCTTTTCCCGCCACAAACAAGTTGTTCTTTAGTATAATCAAAAACTCGTAAATAACCTGTATTCAGAAAACAGATGCTCAATTAGGTTACTAAAACAAACGAGGGAAAAAAAATGATGCAGAATGCTCAATAGAAACAAAGCAAGACTTATGTTATACCATCTCTTCCAACAGTTGCTAAGTAGGCCCCATCTGAAGAGAAAGCAACGCTATTAATTGATCCTTGGCAAATATGCCATCTGGCAACAGGGTTACTCTGCATATACTTTGTAGATGTCAGAAAATGGTAGGGGGAATTCAAAGCAGGAGACTAATAAATACAAGTGCACAAGCTACTCTAATGTTCAGTACAAACCACAAATAAGTATAAAGTTAATATCTAGTACTCTGATTACCCATTGCAGAAAATCAGATATCCATGCATGCATACCTTATACTTCGTCCATCCACGTTGTTTAAGATTTTTACACGGTAATTAAGGAAACAATTAATTTCCTAAATTATAACACAATGTTTATTAATTTGACTAAATTTCTCTTTATCTCACATCATTAATTTGATTAAAGATGATCTTAGATAATTGCAGAAACAATTATTAAGTTTAATGTAAGGGAAAAAATGGAAAAAATTCATTAATTACTCATATTCTCGAAATGACAGATATTTGAGGACAAAAGAATATAAAATGACAGATATTTGTAGACAAAGGGAGTAGCATACAAAAAGGAGACAGTATAAATCTCATATCTACAACCTACTATCAGCAACTAAACATGCACAAGATTCAGACACAAAAAAAAGACTAATATCGAATGACATACAGAGTCATAAAACAAACACTAGACATCAAGGGCTTTACCTTGCTATAACGCGCATGTGCAACAGAAAATTGAGTTAAATCTTTGATAACAGGGAATGATGACTCACCTGCACCATCCTTACTCTAGAAAATGAAATTTAAGTAAATAACCGGAACAGTTGATACAGGTACTTTAAATTTGATGGTTAAGGAAGGTTTAAAAACAATTTCTTTTACTATTGAGCTTGCCTTCTCGTACACATACAAATTCCCATCAGCATGAGCAACAACAAAAGCACCATCACCTCCAGGCACCCACGCAATACTTGTACAGCGGCTGTTGAAAACAATGGGTGTTAATCAATTTGACTTTCAGAAGTTATTCTTATACTGGCCAAGTGTTCTCACAGAGGGTTCAAAGTTTTAAATTAATAATAATAAAAAAAAATGCTTGATTAGTGTCCTATTATGATAAACCAGTCTCTTTTCTTTTTCATCTCTTTCTCTTTTTGTTACTCTTTCGTCATCCTCCTACCAGGGACACTTCCACACTCAGACACATGAACACAGACAGAGAGAGAAGAAGTAAATTCCAAAGTATCCATTATATACCTTTAGCCCAATAAATTTCTACAATATCGGGAAAGATTTGTACATCACATGCACTGGGAGTTCAATATTTTGAAGGCCTAGGGCAAAACTACTGTATGTGGATGGAAACTAGAAAAGAAGGCCATGCACATAATTAGGAAAAATGCATATAAACACAACACTCATGTGACACTAGAATTTTCCACATTCATCTCCATTTTATACTCACATCTAAAAAAAGTGCCATAGTTCTCCACTGATATCTTTCATAGTTTTCAGATATTTACAACTCACTCCTACAAGAGGAGAGAACTAAAAAACATTGTTAATTAAATGATCCGACTAGACTGAAATGGATACTTTGAATTCCTTTCAGTGAAAAGAACAAAGTTTTCCTTGCATATTTATCTATCTATATATTTTTTTATAATCATATTCTTCTATGGCAACTACTTCCTTGTTCCATATTTTTAGGACCCCATTTTAAATATTCCCTTAGTTAATATCTCAAATCTATAACTCTTATTAGACTCATATTTATGGAGAAATCAAAAGGAAAGCTTCTTAAATGCCATAAGATATTTCGATTCAAAAAAGCAAATATGGCATATCAAGATAAACTCTATCAAATCATAGCCATAGGACATTACAGTTACAGTGCAATTACAATTTTGTGCAAACTAACTTCAACTTTTCACAGTCTTGCAACGTAAAAACTGTAATAGCTAATTTTTTAAGAGGGATACAACACTGTTCTTTATATTTCAGACATCTGATATTATCAAGAATTCCGCATCTCTTGGCAACTTCTTGTGCTACAATAATCATGACAAAACTACTTTGGCAGCTCACTGAAGGTGCACATACAAGTGATAGCCAATGACTATATTACTACTCAGTAAGGAAATCTCAGATATAGCAGCAAGAACCAATAAAGCATAGCAGAGAAGAGAATAGAGCGAAAAAATGAGGGCAGGGAGGTAAGCTCTTGCCTGTTATTAACAGAACCATCTTTGTTATAATGTTGGGCCCCAACCAGCTTCTTTCCAACATCCTGTAATTGCTGTCTCAGTGACACCGAGTAGACTACAATAGTATCATATATAACCAACAAATCTCAATATTTAAACTTCTGCGACAAAAAAAAAAAAAAAAAAAAAATAACTCTATTCCCAAAATTCGAATAGCCCCCATTAGGCGAGCATTACAGTTTTTTAACAAGGCAATTACATTTTTGTGCAAACTAACGTTCAACTTTTTCACCGTCTGTCAACGTAAAGAAACCTGCTAATAGCTAATTTTTATACAGGCAGGGGACTATCACAAACACTGCTTCTTTTATATTTCAGGAAACCAAAATGTTTCTGATCATTTCAATCCAAGAAGTTCCGCCATTTCGTCCTTGGCAACTTTCTTTTGGTGCTACAATAATCATGAACCCGCAAAAAAGCTAACATTTGCAGGCTTCCGCACTGGAAAGGTTACATACAAGTGATCAGCAGCCAATGACTTTATATTACTTCTTACCTCAGTTTAAGGGGGAAATCTCAAATTATAGCAGCAGTAAGAACCCAATCTACAACAAAAAGCATAGCACTGAGAAAGAGAATAGAGGCGCCAAATAAAAAAAAATGACGGGCATGGTGATGGTAATTTCTTTCTTGCACGTGTTATTAACAGATAACACCATTCCTTTGTCTATCAATGGTGGGGCCCCCCCAACCAGCTTTCTTTCCAACATCTGTTAAGTGCTGCCTGCTCCCGAGTGCACAACCGCAGTAGACTAAACCAATGTAGTTGCCATGATTAATAAACCAAGCTAATCTCAATCATCTAGTAAACTTCCTACACTGCGACAAAAAAAAAAAAAAAAAAAAAAAAAAAATGAAATTCAGTTTTGAGTCAAAGATGTTACCATCACCAGAATTCAACCCAATGAGCAAATCATGTCCATCTTTAGCATCTTGATCAAAGGCATGACACACTGGGTTTGAATTACTAAAATGTATAGACTTTATTGGATCCTACAATAAACAAGAAACCTCTTAATAAGAAAAACCAAAACTTTCACCATCCACTGACGTGGAAATCATAACATACCAAATTACCTTATCTTGAGAGTTTAAATCACTTATAAAAATTGCATCCCCCACATTGAAGACCAAGTAAGTCCCTTTTCCATCAAAATTTGGATTGATTATGGAATTACTTGAACTTGAAGCACCCAATGATCCAATTCTACTACTGCCACTAACACTTTTACTCCCACCATTCCCTCCAACAAAACTAAGCGCACGGCTTCCATTGCCAGCCCCCAACAACCGGGCTGCAGCTGATCGTACTCCACTACTAGCACTGAAGCTTGAAGATGGGGCTGTTGGAGTTGACGGAGCTGGCTTATCCTTGAGATTAGCTAGAGTTACCTAATAATCAAATTAAACGATATATTTGCATTAAACTGATGTCAAATTAAATGGGTCAAAGGGCTACTTTTGCAGATGGGAATTGAGAGAAACCCCAGAAAAACAAATTGAGCATATAAGCAAGCATATATTAATTCTAGAAAATGAGAACTATTGCCCCCCCCCCCCGCAGATTAGCTAGACTGTTACTCTCCTTAAATAATTTCGCAATTAACCAAAAATCCGATATTTATTTTTTATTTTGGCATTTCCAAATCTTGCAGCCTTGATGGTCAAAATGTTTATTTAAATGCGCCGTCCAAAGGGCTTTTACCTTTTTGGCTCAGGGATGTGGGTGAAAATTGAAGAGAAACCCCCCAAGAAAAAATTGGTCACCCGAAATAAAAAATTTTTGAGGCATTTATAAAAAGCAAGCATATAATAATTTCTAATGGGGAAAGATAACCAAATTTGAGAAACAACTATGCCCCCCCCCTCCCCCCCCAAAAAAAAAAAAATAAAAAAAAAAAAAAACAGTATTGAAAGATAATACTATGCAAACTCCAAAAGCCAACAATTGGAACCTGAGCAAAAAAAAAAAAAACAACGTATTAAAGACAAAAAACCCCTTAGGCATTAAATTAATTTCAAAACAAAAATAAACAATTTTGGCGGTAAAAAACCCAGTTTTTACCTTTCCTTTAACAAACTTTCCTTAATCCCAAAAACTGAGCACTCATAAATGAGTATTAGCCGCCACAAATAAAAACAAAAAATACCCAAGAAATCTTTAAAACCACAGTTATAAAACGAAAAAAAAAATTAACAAACCCGAACTTAAAACAAATAGGCCTGGTACTAAAAACAAACAAAAAAAACCCCAGGCAAAATGCAAAATTAAACCCAGAAAAAAAACAAGCTAGAAAAAGAAAATTGACATTGACAAAATGAGCATCCCGATTTAAAAATATGAAAAATGAGAGTACCTGAGCACAGCCAGTTAACAGCTGTTTTTGCCATGGGCACTCATTTTTGAAATGAAGCGGGACCGGGAACGTGTTGTGTCTTTGCGTCGCTAGTGAACGAAGCTATATAAACAACCCACGCCCCTTCCGGAGGTTTTTTGACAAAAATAGTGGGTTCCTTTAAAAAACCCCTGAGGCCTGCGCGTTTTGTCTCCGATGCAAACGATTAGAGCGTCGAAAAACATCTTTTCTACACACCGTTGTCGGTCCGGTTATACTATGTTGAATTCCCACAATTAGCATGTTCCTGCCCCGTGCCTAATTTTACTTCTTATCTCAGACCTTTGGGAGAAAGCCATTTACTGATTCATCGACACCTAGGGTTCTGGATTCACTTTTTTCTTATTATTTTTTCAGTTTCTCCATAACCTTTCAGGTTTTCAAAATTATATTGTTTTTCGAAATTGTCTTGCTGCCATGGGTCGCGGGCATTTATTTAGAAAAGGAAACTGGAACAAAACACGAAACAAACAAACAGGATGCGTTTTTTTTCCCTATTCTGATTGCTTTTGGTCTGCCTTGTGCGTCTCTTCTCTTTTTGTTGGCCTCCTGTCTGCAGGTCTTCAGATGCGAGATACCCAAAAAACCCAGGGTTTGATACCCTCTCTGATCCTGCCGGTCTATAACGGAAGGGAACCCCATTTTTTTATCGGATTTTGCCTGTTGTATCTTTTCTCTTGGATTGTGCCCTATTTAATATTGACTTTTGGATTAGCATTTTTTAAAAAAAAAAGTCCAATCTGAAAATGGCACGGTTGTTAGGACTGGGTCGATGCTGTGATCAGGTACTTCAAATCTCTTTGTTTCTATCGCTTACTTTTCGGGGCTTGGCTTGGGACCGTCCACTGCTTGAGATATCGACATGAACAGTAAGTTTAGAGGATTGGCAATAACTGGGGGGGCCTCCCCACTATGGTTTTTTTCACTTCTCCTTTTGCCTCCTCTTCTCCTCCCTTGGTTTTTACAATGATCTCCTTTCAATCACACCTTCCTCTTCTCCAAATGCTCACCTCTAAACAAAAACATACACATGGTCTTTTTCGTCTGAGTCCCTGTTATATTTGTTTCTTTTGCGTTCTTAGATTTTTTTTACACTTTCGGCATTTTAATAAAACGTACAAGGCGGACTTAATCTTTAGCCAAAATCATCCTTTGGATATATGCTTTCTTGGGAAAAATTAAAGAAATCGGCGGATAGGGGGGACGACGGAGATATATCAACCCACATGTTGCGGTTTAATTATAACGAGAATCAATTTTCCCTTTTTCGTTTGCGTTTCCCACATTGCGGGCAAGTATTAAGCCCCAGCGAACCCTTTCGTGCCTTGTCCTCATTGCGTTTGCTTTGTTGGGGACAGATAAATTGCAAAAATATTTCTACAACCAAAAAAATTCATCTTATCAATAAAGGGGGGCTTCTTATTTTTTTGAAAAAAGCTTAAACAAGAAAAAGTTTTTGGTTTTTTAGCTTTTGTTCCAAAAAAAAATAAACAAACCCCCAAATAAATAAACAAATAACCATTCTCGACCGTTCTGGGGGGTACATTGGACATAACAGGCTCCTTGGCAATCTCTGCTTGGGTCCCTAAAAAGGCAAGGGTTTTTGTGTAAAAATTTGTCCTAATTTGGAAAACTTTGTTTGTAGAGGTGCCAATTTTTGTTGTTCAACAATACAATTAGGTTGATCCATCCTTGTATCGGCCCCAAATAGTCATAGTTTAAAAAAAAAGTGTTTTTTTTGCTATCTTGTCCACAATTTTCATTATTTTTTCATTAAAAAACATGCCCAAAAAAAAAAAAAAAAAAAAAAAAAAAAAAAGCTAAAAAAAAATATTTTCCCTTTCCAGGTATGTGTTTAGTTAGTTTACTTTCTCAAACTAGTTATCAAAAAAGGGGGAGGTAAATTTCTTGGGAGGGGACTAAAAAAAAAAAAAAAAAAAAAAAAGTAAATCTCAGTGTGGTTTAGTTAGTCTTCTCACTAGTATCAAGAGTAATTTGAGACTTTTCGATCACAAGAGTTTTTACTAATTTAATAAGTCAAGCGAAAAGCTATCATATTATGTAGCTCATTGAATTATTTCGACGTATTGAACCTTCTAACAAATAAAAAAAATGACAAGGAAACATGAAATTAGTATTACCTTTTGCCATCATCACTATAATAATGGTTATCTAGCCAAGCCAATGCATTTACTCTTATAGCCATAGGAATTGAATTGGATTGGTTAGAGAAGCAAAAGTTGGTGATTAATAATGATGTGATTGCAAATTAGGTTCACATTATATGGTATAAGAGCTTAGGACCTACATTTGTTGCATGAGAGATGTTCTTGAATGGATTGGTACTAGGCCTACATTCTATTTGGATTGTATTGGGATGAACTAATATTGAATCATCATACGTTTGTCGGTTGGCATTAGTATTAGCTTGTAATCATGTCTATAAATTGAATTGGATTGGTTACTAGTGAAGCAAAAGTTGTTGATCAATGATGATTTTTGTGTTTTTTTTTTTTTTTTTTTTGCACCCAAAATCCTAGCGCATCATTCTCTGCCCGCTAGACTAGATGATTTGGCTGCAAAATTAGTTTAAAAATTTTTTTTTTTTTTTTTTTTTGGACCCAAAATCCTAGCGCATCATCTCTTGCCGCTAGACTAGATGATTTGGTGCAAATTAGTTTAAAAATACATGGGTTTTCAATTTTATGGCACATAACTTTAGTTTTGTTTTTTCAGTGAATACTATTTCAATCTATCTAATAATTCTTGATATGCTTTTATGTTAATCTTTTACCAATCAAATGAGTCATGTTGGATCTGGCCTTGTGTAATTATAGTTTTCAAGCTCTACCTACTTAGAAGATGGGATTGGTTAGGTCAAGCTTAGGAATAAACCCCCTTGTCTAGACTCAGTTTTCTTGAGTCATGCTACTGCAATGTGAGGTTGGGCAAGTATAAAGCTTGTAAATACAATGTTACAATGTATAACATAGGTTGGGAGAGGTTTAATATATAAAGTTTGTAACTTTAAAAAAAAAAAAATACAAGGGTTTTATAGGTAATTCACACAACTTTAATTCTAAATCCACCTTTACATAGAAACTTTATGAATTGTGAGAACTACCCAGACATTGTTGTCATAATCACTAACAACCTTGGCTAATGCTTGCATTGACTATTGAAAACTTGAATCCAAAGCCTCTTAAAAAGTTGTCCCTGGCTACAAGCAACAACATATATGTTTCATCATTTTGCATTGGCACAGTGGTTCCCCACTTATAGAGGTAAGCAGTATTCGGCCCGGACTGAATAACCGAACCGACTCATTTCGGTCAGATTTTTTAGAGATCGGTTACCAATCGGTTCAAATAATAACAACTGAATGGTTTTTAGTTTTTGGTTCGGTCACTTGCCTAACTAATTGAATTGATTTTTATAGTCTTCAATACAATTGTGGTCGCCATGAAATCTATTCAATTATACCGATTGAACCAAATTCAGTTCGATTGAGTTCAGTTAAACCGATGCTCACCCCTACCCACTTATTCTACAAATCACAATATACCATGTCCATTTCCTGCCTTGCAAAGCAATATCTCACTCTTTCCCTACCGTAACAATAAAGAATTGAATAGAGGTTCTCGAGTCACCTTAAATTTGGATCCTTTTACCTAACTATAACAGCCACTACTCATCTCTCCTTCTCCTCAATATATTCCCTTTCCCCTTCCCTCTCTCTCACACACCTCACTCTCTTCTCCATCACTTTTTAGCAAACAAAACAGTAGTTTAGACCACATTCAGTTCTTGCAAGAATGAGAAAGCAACTTTTCTCCACAATCTTTCTTTTCTTGATTTTCATTCTCTATTCCTCAGCTTCTTATGCTCAAAACCCATCACCAGCCCCATCAGGCCCGACGAACATAACAGCGATCCTCGAAAAAGCTGGTCAGTTTACAACCTTTATTAAGCTAATGAAAAGCACCCAAGAAGCTGACCAAATAAACACACAACTCAACAATTCAAACCAAGGCCTGACGGTGTTTGCACCACCTGATAATGCCTTCGCTAATCTTAAACCAGGCACATTAAACTCTCTCACCGATCAAGGAAAGGTCCAGTTAGTGCAATTTCACATTCTACCTAGTTTTATTGCAATGTCACAATTCCAAACTGTTAGCAATCCCTTGCGTACACAGGCTGGGAATAGCGCAAATGGCGAGTTCCCATTAAATGTAACAACATCAGGAAACCAAGTGAATGTAACTACAGGTGTTGATACTGCAACTGTGGCCAACACTATATATACCGATGGCTCGTTAGCTGTTTATCAGGTAGATCAAGTTCTTCTTCCGTTAGACCTTTTTGGTGCACCTGCGGCTCCTGCACCTGCGCCTTCTAAGCCGGATGAGGATACTCCGGTAAAAAGTCCTGCAGCAGGAAAAACTTCTGATGATAGTCCTGCAGATTCATCAGCTGCAGCAAAAACAATGGTGCCATTTGGTATTGCATTTATTGCAGCAATTTCTTTGAAGCTATGAGTTGAATCTAAGTAGTCTTTCTTTCCCTCTCTTTTTATATAAAATGTACCATGATTGCTTGAGACTTTCCTTTCTCTTGCGCTCGATTTTGTGATTGTACTTGTTGGTGATTTTTATTGGGTCGATCTGCCCTGTAGATACATTGTGTAGTTTCTTTCTTTTCTTGGGTTTACCAATCCTTTATGTACCTTAAAAAATCAAATAAAAATTCTTTACATTTGATTCATTAATACTAAGAGGGTAGATGATTCTCCTGAAGCATTGGCTAAAGTATTCAAATTTGAACATACAGGAAAAACAAAATGAGAACTAAATTTGGAATCCCTAACTGATAAACTTTGTCCGTTCTTTCAAACTCCAGAGCCAAAATTTTGTTCCTTTCTTAATTTGGTTACCGTTAGATAAGTGTTGAAAAGGTTAAGTAATAAGCGACCTTTAGTGACTGGCCTTGAAAAAGCACTGTTAATTATATATACAAACAATCTCATAAAAAATTGCCATCGTTTCATGTTGCAGAAACACACACAGAAATGCATATCTCATATGTATCATGAGCTGCCGGAGAGTCGAGAATCGGCTAGCTTGATAAGGTGGCAAAAATTGCAACATATCAATGAATCAGCTCATCAATTAACTTGATCAATCAAATACAAATTCCAGAATTTTGAATATTCTGGGAGCAAAACTTTGTCAACGGATATATTAATCACCTATAACGTCTTGTGATGCCTGAGATACCCACTAGTGTTAGTCAAAGTTGTGTTAGAATAGTGTCATAATAAAATAACCCCATGTTTCGATGATATCAAAAATGGAATTGAAATCCACCACCGCCACCGCCAGGAAAGCCTCCATCAAATCCACCAAAACCTCCTGGAAATCCTCCATCAAAATGAAAAGTGAACTGTTGCCCCCCACCACCAAAAGGGTTGAAACCACCACCGCCACCACCCATTCCCATTTCTTCTAAGTCTTCTCCTCTATCATATCTGGCTCGTTTTTCATCATCTCCAAGAACCTTTCACAGACAATACAAGTGTCAGACATGGGAAAACATGCACTAAGTTGAATTTTATCAAATAATAAAACTTTGCACCATTAGCAAAATAAAATTTCGTTTATTTACTCGCCTAAAGCATGCCTCGCTTAAATAAAACTTAAAAAAAAAAAAAAAAAATTTTCGTTTATTTACTCGCCAAAGCATTGCCTCGCTTTAAATTAAAACTTAAAAAAAAACTTAAAAAAAAAAAAAAAAAGAACAATTATAAAACCATACCTCATATGCAGCAGCAATATCTCGGAACTTGGCCTCTGCTTCTTCTCTGTTATCCACATTCTTATCAGGGTGCCATTGCAAAGCAAGTTTCTTATAGGCACGCTTGATTTCAGCTGCAGAGGCACTCTTTGATAGTCCCAAAATCTTGTACCAGTCTTGTCGTTTGCTCATCTTCAAAGCTTTCTCTGCTCGCGCCAATGCCTCCCTTATATTCATATCCTAAAAATATTCACAAAATATGGTTTCAGTTAAAAAACCAAAATTACCTTTGAATAGACAATGATTGAAATACTATTGATACAATTTTCTTTCATTTTTCTAATCAATTGTAAAATTAACACAATTTGCCCCAGCAGAATTTAGCTATGATTAAACAAAAAGTGATTGTAATTTTGTTTGATCAACTATCTATAAGCATAGAGACAATTGATCCATGAACAATACTAAGAGGGAAGCCTATACAAGTGGATAAAAGACAGTGAGTGAAGAGAAGGCCTAAAAACAAAGGCTATACTATAAGAGCAAAACCCAATGATTGAAGCATATTACAACTTAGTTTCTGTTAATAACACTTTATTGATTCTGGTACTAGCAGTAGCAGGCATTCAACAAGTGAATAAAAGAGAGGTTATATGAGCTCCCAGAATGAATCAAGTAATCACATCACCTACTGAATGTTGAATAATTTGTCAGTAATATAGGCTTATTTTGATCTCTGATTGGGCTTCAGAAAATTTTTCTTGAATTTCAGCTTAAAAGTTCTGATAATATGCTATTATCTAGCTATATTTTGCTAACAAAACAATCCAAAACGGGCTGAAATTCATAAGCTACTCTCAGGTTATACACAACATAGAATAAATTAATTTTGCAAGGGCACTTGATGGACTTGATGTTGCAGCTATTAAGACATTTTTTTTCTTTCCAACTATTGAAATATGGGGGGCTTTATGCACTTGGAAGGCCCTTTTTACCTATTTAGTACATCATAAAATGATAAGAAAAATAATGAACACACCATATAACGCTTTAACTGCCATTACAACATATGTTTATTTAAAGATGACTAAAAATGTACTCCCTCCATTCCATTTGAAGTGTCACAATTTCAAATTGCACAATGATTAAGAAAATCATTAAAACAGCCTCAATTCGTGGCCAGGGGTGGAGGGAGTTGCAATTGACTAAATTACTCTTTTATCAATTCTCTAATTGATGAATGGTTATTTAGTGGAGATACCAAAATAAGGGTAAAGTTGAAAAAGAATAATCAATGTTAAGACTAACCTGCGGTGATTTCTCAGCTGCTGATCTTAGATCCTGGACAGCTCCTTCCCAGTCCTCGATTAATAGTCTAGCTTCACCCCTCTGCAAATAAAACATAGATAAAAAATGTCCAGCAAGTTGCAGAACAGTTCCAGTGGATTTGTTTGGGAAACTAGCAAACCTGAACTAAAGCTTCAAGAAGCTCCCCATCTATGTTAAGTGCTTCAGTGCAACTATTCAAAGCATCTTTGCCCCTGCCAAGCTTGACCAACACCTTACACAAGCCTAGATGAAGGTTTACATTATATGCAAGATGATTAGGGTCCAAAGCAAGAGCAGCTTTATAGTCCTCCACTGCAACACGCAGCTTTCCCTTATTTGCATTATCTTCTGCCTGTAAGAAATAGTATGTTCAACTACTACTACTACTACTACTAATACTACAGGTCACAAACTCACAATATATTTGCATTTATGTTTCAGTGGGGTTTTAGGAGGGGAAGAAACAATAGAAGTTTAGTGGACCTACACTTTTAGTCTTCTTGAGTAAATTTTTCAATCCAAAATATGCTTTTTTCAACTCGCTGTGTTCTGGATCAAGACGAAGGCCTTTTTGATAATGTCTGGAAAGAGCCACATTCTTAAAATTACAATTCCAGAAAGAGTCAAGGAAATTTAAACCTTTGAATAAAATTTTTTTACTCACTTCGAAGCAACATCATGATCAGCTAAGTAGTAGTAGGCACGACCACGGAGCAGTAGTGCCTCTAGATTATTTTCATCTTCCTTAAGAATAAACCCGGTTTCAGAGATGGCAGCAGAATAGTCCCTAAGTGCTAACAGCAATCTAACTTTTAGGAGTTTGGCCTGCAAGAAACAATTCTCGCTGAGTTATTGCACTGCTTGAATAGCAAAAATAGCTCCCAGGGAAAACGCAAAGCACCATATTTCATTTCATACGAGAAAATTAGTGAACACGAAATTACAAAATCATCAAGTACAATCTCTTGAGTATTCAGTTGTTTATCAGTATATTCCAAAGATTTTACCTTTGAGCATGCTGGAGAGAAAACAAGTACAACTTTATCCACAAACTCCAGAGATTTTTTATAATCACCAGAATCAAAGAGAGTAAAAGCTGTATCCAGAGCACTTTGAGCTTGATGCAATTGAGAAAGCTCTTTATCTGCAGTCGAATGCCTTGGTTTTAGCTCCAAAACTTTCTTATAGCTTTTTTCGGACTCTTCATATCTACACTAGAGAAAAGGTAAAATCATAACTTTTCCAAACAATAGATAGAGATTAATTTAATTCTCAAAGACTTTATAAATTCAATAAAGCTGATACTAATTGTATTAACACTGACTTAGAGCCAAAATTGAGAAATGCAGCCAATTTAGCATCTTCAAAAGCAAACCCAATAACAATTGTCTCCTTTTTATTTATTTTTCTAATATAATTATAAAAAATCACTAATATACATTCATGGGCGCAACTATTTTAACAAAACATGTTCCTTAAGAGCCTAAACACGAAAAAATATGATTATAAACATAAAAAGATTAAAGCTTTATATATTTTGAAATATAAAAAAAGCTTCAATCTTTTAAAAAGTTAGGAGTAGGCAAAATTCCCGACTAACCTGCATAGCTGACGAAGAATGGAAGCTTTACGAAAATAAGCTTCTGACAGCGTTGGATCTGCCTCAATTGCAGCATTAAGATCATCTATAGCCTCACTATAACGCTTCACCTTTACGCTTCTCTCTACTTTTTCAAGCAACTCCGCGACATTCCCAGCTTTACCATCTAAAATAAATAAATAAATAAAATTATTATTATTGATTGGCTAATGCTTATAATGGTAAAAATCAGGTGATTCAATTAAAATCCCTAATGAATTGAAAGTAAAATTTTCTAAATTTGATCAAATTGTAAGGAAAAAAACATACCATAAGCAGAAACGAGAGGTTGGAGAAGTAAAAGCTGACAGACAAATACAAAATGAAGTATAAATACTGTATAAGCCAACCCTTTCCATGCCACCCCATCCACCGGCCACCACAACTTCCCAATATCCATTATCGCTACTTTCTTATCTCTCTAGGTGAATATATTGAAACGACGTTGTTTCAGAGAAAGAATCTCATGCATAAATGTACAAATGCGTTTGCGTTTTGAGTCTGGATTTGGAATTTGAATCCAATTTGAAGGGTACAGAGCGAGTTTGAGGAACTCAAGAACGATATTGAAGAGGAGCTTCTTTTCTTAATTAAGCACCGAGGAAGAGAGAGTACAAGAATTCGCTGTGTAGATACACGTAGCTTCTACCAATCATTGTTTTACACGTAGAATTATTGGCGTTAGCCTAGTCAGATCTCCCTCCAAGGTCTTCGTCCATTGATGCTTTACCACGTGGAAATTCTCTTTTTAGAGCTCCAAATGTAATAAAACTATGGAAAGCCCAAAATGAACGGCCCAATCACATCCAAAGCAACCTAAAAGAAAAAAAAGCCCAGATCTAGTTGTATGGAAAATCCACATGATTTCTTTTGTTAAAAAGTCCACAAACAGGGCCCAAAGCTCACATTGAGTTTACCCAGCTGAGCGCTTAGGAGCCGCGCGTATGTCGTTCGGTTCCCTTCAATGGAAATGCAAAACGACGTGTAATTTCCAAATTTGGAATAATATCCCTCTTTGTTTATTAAATTATTTTTCTTTGATTTAATGAAATTTGCATAAAAAAAAATTATCTGGCAAGTAAACAAGACTCTATAGTAAGTTATTTAAAATAAAAAAAAAATAAAAAATAAAAATGCTAGCTAGCAATGTCCTATGCACAGCAAATTAATAGTTTGATAATCAAAACCTGCTTCTGCTGTCTGCATAACAACTTAACAAGTGAGAAATGCTACTGAATCGAAACGTTTCAAACTCCAAGGATCGACCCACGTCTCCAAAAGCTAGTCGTCAACAAGTACCAATAAAAAGTTACTACTCATTACAAATTAAAGTTGAAATTCCTAATTTAACTATTTAATCCTTGAATTAACCATAAAAAAATTATTATATATATATAAATATAAATCTCTAAAAGGCTTTGATTCTTCACGAGACAACCATTGGTTCTGTTCTGTTCTTTCCCAATCTCTCAAAAGTAAGACCCTACAAATCTCAAGATAAAAAGGCATCAAAAAGTCAAAACTTTAGTATAGAGGTGACCGGCAAACGGTTTGTTAGGGTTAACACTGCCCTAGATTGCTAGGGCAAACTCTAAAATAAGGGCACCACTTAATATATAATAAGAATAATAATATAGTATAAAAAAAAAATCCAGACCTAGATAAAATCTTTCTTCTTTCTAGGTTTTTCTTTGCATGAAACTTGACATATTAAGGAAGGAAAAAAAAGATAGAGAAGAGCATAAATATATTTGTCCATTTCCAAACAAGTGAAGGAAAAAAATTTTGGTTTTTTTTTTCTATTTTCCTTTTCAATTTTCTTTCCTCTTCCATTTTCCACCAATCCAAACATAGTGTAAAGGAAATGTCTTATTGCACTCTCCCCTTTCCACTGATCTGCATTGGAACGGCAAACATTCTGTAATAGTTCCAATGTTTCTTTAATTGGAGGGGAAAAAGAAAAAGAAAAAATATAAATTGAAAATTTCTTTTTTATCTGTGTTACTGTTTCTTTTCTTGCCCTGGAAATATGACAGGAAGCTTTTGGGTACAAGAAATGCAGTTTTCTTTTTCTGACTGATTAGACTTAGATGCAGGTTCTTGCCAAGAAAAAGTACTGAAAATTTGATGATTTTATAAATATAGTGTTAATTTCATTATTTTCTTAATTGAATGATTTGAAAATTATCCCAATCATTGAATTTGAAGATGGATGAATCCAAATGTGATTGCTTTAATTTCACTTTTGGTGAAGGGAAGGACAAAACGCCCTGTAAAAGAAATTTACTAGTAATAGCTACTTTCATCTCATGCTTATGGAGTAGCTTACTTAACTCTTCAGCAAAAGTTTCTCAACTTACCTAATTTTCCATTTTTGATTTGAAGATAAATGGTAGGTAAAAAACTTTTATCTTTTTTTCTTTATGTTGGACTCTAATTAATCCTTGAATTAATTTTAAATTTATAATCTCAAATTTGTAATTTTTTTTAAGTTTTAATATTTTTCTTCACACTATTCTCTCTTAATATTGGCAATTTTAACATGGTTTATTTGTTTTATTAACTATTAACCGTCTAAGCAGGTATCAGCTGATTAAATAGAATTTCACCAAACGTTAGGAGGAGTAAGGTTTCATGATCTACTTCATCAAACGTTAAGGGAGTAAAGTTTCGTGATCTACTCTCTCAAACTCTAAAAACTAGTATAAATGATGAAAGCTGTTATTTAAAATAGTTTTAAGGTTGGAATTTCTTACATTCACAAAAAATGACACATAGTTGCTAGCAAAATTAAGAATTAATTGGACATCTATTAGGGAAAATGAAGAAAATACCATGGAATTGCATTTTGACAAATTGTCCTAAATTTCCTCCCAAGCTTCCTCCTAGGCCTAATATATATAATGAAACCCTAGAAATTAAAGGGTCTATGGAGCACCTAGATTCTACCTAGTTAATAAGACACCAAGGTACTTGTTGATGATCCATCTAGGCTAAAAAGAGACGTGTAAAGCTTAATCTCTATAACAACTTGATTAACACATTAAACATATTTATAAAGTTGGTAAGTTAAATTAAGCAACTTGCTCAATTCTTGAGATTATTTTAGTAGTAAAGAAGACTCTACAGGACTTAATTAAAACATTTTTCTTCAAAGAACCCACCATCTTTGACGAGAAAGCCATGTTCCTTGTACTTGTATTAAGTCTTTAACGGCCAGTCAATGGTTTGCTTGTAGTTTTCTGTGCCCTTCAATATTTCAAGAAACCAAAAAGGGCAGAGGTAAAGAAAAAAGAAAATTCAAGAAATAAAATTTATATGAGATCTATAAGAGAGTTAATAAAAGACATGAAATAAAACAAGAAGATAAAAAGAAAAAAGGATAAAAACAACAAGAACATACAAGACTTGGAGTCGCCTCACTGTTTGGTCACTTCATACATCCACTGAGCCACCCTATACCATTCACATTTCACATGCTTCTCTTCTCTTTCTAATATTGTAGCTCTCTGCCCATTCCACCACCGAGTCATTTAACTCAGTTCGGAACTCGGATTTTAGTTTCACGATATAATAAAAAATTTATATGAGATCTATAAGAAGAGTTAATAAAGACATGAAATAAAAGCAGAGAAGATAAAAAGAAAAAAAGGGGATAAAAACAACAGAAACATACAAGACTTGGAGTCCGCCCTCAACTGTTTGGTCACTTCATACAATCCACTGAGGCCACCCTAATACCATTCCACATTTCACATGCTTTCTCTTCTCTTTTCTAAATATTGTAGCTCTCTGCCCATTCCACCACCGAGTCAATTTAACTCAGTTCGGAACTATCGGATTTTTAAGTTTCACGATATATATATATATATATATATATAGTATATATATATATATATAATTCTAACAAATATATATTCTAACAATTTACACGTTCATGGATTGCTAGTGAATTGGCTTAGACCCATGGCGGAGCTTATTGAAGCAAATTTAGCTAAATCTTGAGGCAAAAATGGACGACCAGATTGACCACCACTCATTCCAAGAAAATCTCTTGTTAAATCATTCTCTATAGAACTTGAATTACCTTGTTGTAGCTTTAACTGAACTGGGTCATTATGTTTTCCACTGGATTGCATAATCAAAACTTGATCGAGACTAGTTGATGAAGCCATTATTGAATCTCGCATAGCTACACTGCCTGGTGTTGCAGTTAAATTAAACTCTCCAGGTTGCTTATTGCTAACATTTTGGAAAACTTGACTAAGAGAGTTGATGTTCGTCGCATTTGAAGAAGAAGATGAGCTCATTATTCCATAATGGTTATTACTTGCGAAAAAAGATTGATTATTTGATCTTGTAGAACCCATTTGTGCTGCTTTTTGGAGAAGAGCAGTAGCAGACATTGGTCCAGTTGACTTTGATTGCTTATTTTGATTGCTATTGTTATCAGAATACAGAGAAGGCAATGAAGAATCCACCAAATTAGTCCCTTTATTGTCACCTTCTTCTTCTTTTAATCCATGAGCCAATCCTGATAGGCTTAAATTACCAAAACTGGTATTGCTTGATGATGAACCATAAATGGGCAACCCAGTTGAACTCGAAGATGGATAGAGAGTATTAGCAGGATTCATCTGAGAATTTGCTTGATTTAGCCACAAAGATAAGCCAGGATTTTGATACCCATTAAAATCTGCTCTAAAACCCGCAGAACTGAATTGAGAAACATTAATGTCTGCAATATCTTCAACTCCGGAGCCTGGAACTACTCCAGGAGGCAAATTCACTGCTACTGTATCATTCCTGAAATTTAGATTTGTCGGTATAGTTGAATTGATTCTTGAACTTTCTTCAGCTAATGCATCACAAAAGGCTCTATGCGTAATGAAGCTATCTTTCCTGTTTTGAATATATTACAAAAACCCCAATTCAGTGTTTTGATCTATCCATATGAATATAAGAGCAGTTATTGTTATATATATATATATATATATATACGAAAGCTTAATATCTTTCCTGTTTTGAATATTATTACAAAAAAAAAACCCCAATTTCAGTGTTTTGGATCCTATCCATATTGGAATATTTAAAGGAAAGCATATTGTATATTAATAATATATATTTAATTATATTATATAAAACCCAGTACTCATTAATTGAAATGGGGAAGCATTTTAAATTTGAAAATGTTAAAACAAAAATCATTATTAAAAAGGAAAAGCATTTAATTTCTTCCAAAAGAATTGCAAAATGGGAAAGAAACATTTAATTATGAAAAAACAAACAAAAGGAAGAGAGGAAAGTTTTAAAAAAAAAAAAGTAAGTGTAAACTTATAAACCAACCATAAAACCTGGGAAAAATAAAAGTTCCCACAATTCGCATTTTATATTCTCTAGTTGCCCACAAAAGTTCTTTTGGGAGTGAAAGCTTTTTCCCAAGTCAGGATTTGAACTTGGCATACATTTCTTTGGAAAAGCATTTCTCACACTTTCCATTTTCTTTTCTCCATTGTTCTTCTTGCTGGAAAAATTGGCTTTTTGTATTTTCCGGTTGAGAAAATCCACCGAGAAAGCTCTTGACGGGAAATTTCATAGGTGGACACCCGGCAGGGGTTTCTTTTCCGGAGGGCATATATAAAAAAAAACTTTTCTATTTTTGACTCTTGTTCGGTTCGTTGCCTTAACCTTTCCATGGAAAGATTATTGAGCCTTCTTACGTATATATATATATATATATATATATACCCAGTACTCATTAATGAAGGGAAGCATTAAATTTGAATGTAAAATCATTATAAGAGCATTTATTTCTTCAAAGAATGCAAAATGGAAGAAACATTAATTATGAAAAACAAGAAGAGAAGTTAAAAAAAGTAGTGTACTTATACACATACCTGGAAAATAAAGTTCCACAATCGCATTTATATTCTCTAGTCCCACAAGTCTTGGAGTGAGCTTTCCAGTCAGATTGAACTGCATATTTCTTTGAGCATTTCTCACACTTCCATTTCTTTTCTCCATGTTTTCTGCTGAAATGCTTTTTTATTCCGGTGAGATCACCGAGAGCTCTTGACGGATCATGGTGAACGCAGGTCTTTTCCGGGCATATATAAACTTTCTTTTTGACTTCTTTGTTCGTTCGTTGCCTTAACTTCCATGGAAGATTATGACCTCTTCGATGGAGCTGCAAGTTTTGATCTCTTTGGAAACCTTTATTGCATATTTCGCATACGAATCGGTTTGTAGCCATAAGAGTCTTCGGAGATAAAGCAATAACCTCAGCATCTGGATCTGTTTAAGACGTATATACATCATTAAAGAAACTAAATTCAAATCCTAGTCAGAGTCTAATTAACAAAAGTAAAAAAAAGAAACATTCAAGAAGTGAAAGCAGAGAATAAATAAGCACAGTGATAGTTAGTTACCTGGTGTTCCAGGCAAATTTCTCTTCTTCTTGGCAGCTGGATTAGGATTAGGTTTAGGGTTAGGGTTTGCATTCTGTTCTTGAAGAGCAAACCCCGGTAAAGAACTGGGAATTGAGAAAGCTTCACCAGACATCATTTGTATATCTAAATTGAAGTTTAACTTTAAGTGAAACTTTTGTCACATACACCAAACTAAGAAAGCTTGCAAAAACAGATAGAACTGTACAAACAAAAAAACAAGAGTTTCTCCAAACACAAACAGCTAAAAAACTTTGGTGTATTCAAAATATATAGCTACTAATTTTCTTTCTTTCTCTCACTTTCTTTCTCTAATTCTGCCAAAAAACAAGAAGATACCCAAGTCGAGTTTTGAATCTAATAACCACACACTCACCCACTAAATTTAATATAGTCCAAAACTAACTTCGGACTCTTCTTACAGAGATCTGGTTTTGCCTTTGTTTGATTTCAAAAGAAAACACCAAAAACTATGATGGCTAAAAAGAATATCTCTTCTTATTCTCTTACCTTAACCCCTCTCTCTCTCTCTCTCTCTCATTATCTTGGTCTCACTCAGTCACCCTCTTTTTTTTTTATATCTTACTCGTCAGCCATAGATTTGAATGGGCCAGCCAGCTTCTCTACACACACGAATTTAGAAATGGGCGTGTGAGAGACTGTGGTAAGCTCCTGTTTTGTAAACTAGAATGTGTGTAGTAGTAGTAGGTTAGTGTGTGTCTTTTGTAGGCTTTTTTGAGCTCAAACTCCAATTATATTAGTACAATAAGTAAAGAATTACTATATATAATATACGTGTGTATATGCGTATAATCAATAAGTTAGCTTCAGCTCAACAGTTGAGAATAATATTAAAAAATGGGATGGGAGACCATAGATTAATATTATTTTAAATCAAATCATTATTAACTAATAATGTTATAAACTTGAACTCTCATGGAGTTTTGAGTAAAAGAATATGGCAATAAAATTAATTTTTTTTAGATTTTTTCACAAATATTACTACATATAGATATGAAATTGATATTATTTCGAGGTTTGTAATTATTTTTCTCTCTACAAGTGTTTTTTCATATATCGAGCATTAACTTTATAAATATATTTATATATTTAATTAGTTAAGTGACTTTCGCCGCGGCGTGATATTATGCGTTCGATTTGAATGGCAATTATGTAATTGAAATAATAATATAAGGGTAATTGCATGTGCATGTTGATGGGATTGTTTTACTTAATTAATTGAAGCAATTAAATAATGAGAGTTTTGAATCGAAAAAGAAAAGGAAGAAAGATTGAGAAAAGTTATTTGGCTTTATAGCAATGACCAGGAATTGAATGATTATATCATAATTAAAAGTTAGACCCCAATTTAGCATACAACTACTGCTGCTGGCTAAAGTCACAGACAGTCACAGAGAGAGACCTGCAGCGTAGTGCGTGTTTTTTGTGTTTGCCTGAGAGAGAAAATGTAGAGGGAAAGTTTTGGATTCCCGAGAAACTTTATAGATAGGACGGTCCGTGATACACTGTCTCGTTGACTGTAGATGTGGGACCCAATCTTCTTGGACTGTGATTCTGATGGTTCTTCCGCTATTATGATTCATCCCAAAAAGCTTAAGTGCTTACGTGTCACTTCTGATTTACATGAACAATTTTTTTTTTTTTTTATATAGTAATTGGGAGGTTTAATTCCATGGTCGGGTAAAAGTTTTTTTACATCCCTAACAAAATTCGGAGATTGAAATTTATGCTGTCGCCTTTATTAAAATTAAATTCGCTTTATCACTCTAACCAACAGTTTATAGATATATAAAGATATTTTTTTAAATGAAAGCAACCAATATTTCCATTCATGAAAAAAATATATAATTCAATTTGAAATATTAAAATCTTTAGAAAATAATTATGATATGTCTTAATTTGTAATAATTCATTTAAAGTTATGTCTAATAAATGAAACACAAAAGGTACCAAACACATAATGCCACATTACATCAATTGTATTTTGTTTGGTCATATATTTGAATTTGAATAGTAGTATTATATGTCCATAACATTGAAAAAGCCATCACACCATTGTTGTCTTTACCACCAACTTGCATTATCCTCTTTCAACAATATACATTTCATAAAAATTCAAAATAATTTATTTTTTGATAAACACACACATAAATAAATATATATATATATATATATACAATCAAATTGTTATTTTTTGTTTTGGTCATTATATTTGAATTTTGAGGAAATAAAGTAGTATTATATTGGTCCATAAAACATTGAAAAAAAAAAGCCATTCAACAACCATTTGTTGGTCTTTTACCCCCCAAAACTTGGCATTATTTTCCCCCCCCCCCTCTTTCAAAAAAAACAATATACATTTCATAAAAAATCCAAAATAATTTTAATTTTTGATAAAACAACACACATAAATAAAATATATATATATATATATTATATATATTTAAATTTCGCCCCCGGGGGGAAAGCTTCTGAATTATGGCCATATATATATATATATATATTTAAATTTCGCCCGAAAAGCTCTGAATTATGCGTAGTTTGAAATATATTCCGTTATATCTAATTGAGATTATAAATTTAAAAGAGTTATGAATAGTTAATTTTAATTAAATGCATTTAAAAAACCTATTATATAAATAAAATATTATCTAGATGCTGCTATCCTATTATCATCATGTGATTCTCAGTTTTCTAAGAGAAGTTAAAGTTTCAGTTTTATATTTAGTTCAGGATCTTGCCAGTGGATCTTATTTTAACTCTTCTTATCTACATGTGCTAATATTACCTTTTGCTTTAACTCAAATACATCCAATATTAAAAATGTCTGAAAATGAAAAAAAATATTCATTTTTTTAATCATTGGGAGACCCGATAGACCAAAATAATACTGCAGGTTATCCACACAACAGGTTTGACCTCACTAAATTGGTAAAAACACTTGTGGTCGAGAGGATACAAACTCAAAACTTTTCACTTCTCACATAAATGAGAAGACCAATCAGATCAACACCTGATTGGATCCATATATATTATATATATATATATATATATAATTATATTTTTAAAAGTAATTTTTATCTCGTGATAATTGCATATGCGAGAAAAGGTTTAAAGTACACATATATATTTTAAAAGTAATTTTTATCTCGTGATAATTGCATTGGAGAAAAGGTTAAAGTACACCAAAGGGTGAAAAGTCACATTTCTTAGTTGTCTGGCAAGAAAATTTCTTAGGTGAAAGGATAACTACACTAATTGGTTGTTCTTAATTATGCATAATTATAATTTTTTTTTTTTAGCCACTAATAATAATTTATCAAAAAAAATATTTTTAACTTATTGAACTAACAATTTAACAGCGGTAATGTACTGTCTTTCTGGCCGAACTTTTACCTATAAAATTAGATTTTTATATTTAGAATCGTGATTTTCAAAGAGCTTTTTCTTTGACTATCATCGGGACTTGAACACGAAAACACGTCTATATAATAGCTCAGTATATAATAGAGAAAATTAGAGATGACTTGGAAAAGACATTTGGAGCAAAATTGAAAGTGATAAAATTTAATCAATAATTTTGATATTCATATATAGTACATAAAGTTAGAAATTTAAATTCCAATAGTCCAATTTGATTTTTGAAAATTTGCAATATGTCAAAAAGAAAATAAATGCAATCTCTAATTATTGGAGCTACAATTAATTAATTAATTAATGAAGAGGGCCATATGATATGTGATCCCCACACGTTTTCTGATGTCTTAATCCAAGCTGACTTTGAGCAGACTCAATGTTTTTATCATTCATTAATAATCTATTGACAGTTTAACAATATGATTATTATTAATTAATTAATTAATTAATTAAATGAGAATATTAATTCATAATTACATATTTAATTATACATCTTTGGCTCCTTCCATACGGAGTTTCTTTCCAAAGAATTGATGCTTTCACATTCCCCATTTTAGAATCCAAAGCTCTCTCTAAAAAATATATGTTGCACACATGCACATAAACGTAGTCACAGAACACCATGTGTTAATTGGATATATATATATAAGTAAATAAAATAAAATAAAATAAAATAAAATAAAAACCCTAATTCCCAGGAGAGGAAGAGAATGAAATGATATCTATATATCTATATATTATGCGTCCGACCAGAAACGACACATCTTCATCTCTCGACCCGCATTGCACGTAGAGAATGCCCATTACGCTTTCTTTATTCTCCTGTTGCTTGTCTTCTTCTTGGTCTTTCTGTTTTGGTAAAAATATATGGAGAAGAAAGAGAGAGAATTCTTGAATTATGGGTTCTACCCACTTTTACTCAATGAAATTTAGATGTCAAATCATTCTTGGACTACGTATATTATACTTTAAAGTTACATCGCTCGGACAGTATAACGTAAATAATTTTAATCTTTCATGTAAAATTTACATCCTGACAATCGAATTTATATACTCACCTTGTTGAAATTGCTTACCATCTTCAAGTAAGAGATAATCTGAGGTGCAGTGAAAGTGAAAACCCTTATGGGCGAGAGTAACAATAAAATTCTTGTAATGGGCATTTTTCTTGTGAGCCGTGAACAAATATTTGGGAACTTGAGCTCAATAAGGTATATACTTATTTGAGGAAATAAACACTTAAACAACGTTTTTTATAGCAATATTTATTCAACACAACACCGTTTAACAGTGACCAAAAAACATCATTTGCCATTGATATTATCCATGGTTTAATATATAATTAAGTATAAATTATCTTGCAAAACTGCACCGCTAATTACACATTTGCCCATGTAAGACAAATCTCTTCCTTCGTTCCTTGGGTAGTAACCCCACATGGCCTGTCTAATAACATAAAATGTGGAGGAAAAAAAAAAAAACATACAATATTTTGTTGATGACAATTTAAGGTTATCATGTCTTTTTTTATGTTTAATACCAATATATCCTCATTTTATAAGGAAAATTTTTCTTTTTTATTACTACAAATATTCTCAAAGACACGAGACTAGTTTCATTTTAAAATTCAATCAATGGATGATTTGTAATTAGAAGTGAAACGTTCACTCGAATTTAAAATTAGCCGATTCTCTCCGAAATACATTGAGACGCAATAATATATATAGAAATAAAGCACGGTTAAATTATTTTTTTTTATGAGTATTTTTTCACGGATAGAACCTTCTGACTTTGATCACTAAATTCAAACAACTTGGGTTGGAGCTGTCGGTGCAGTTTAATCGTTGGGATGCTTTGAATTCATATGGGAATTATGTAATGAATGGTGTAGTTTAATTTGCATATATAAATTATATAATAATAAGACAAATTAAGGAATTTTCCTACTGAAATTAATTGTACGTTTCCCGTCGGCAAAGTACAAATCTCGTAAACGGTACGGACTTTTCTTTCCAAGCGTTGATCACTTTATTTTATTATATTATATTTTACTGACGAGGGCCCAAATGTGTGGGCCACAAGCATGTTTATGGTTTTCATGACCCAAAAATGTTCCTACAAGGCCCAAGATGCTCATACTTATTTTACATATTCAAAATTCATTTATTAGTAATTATTCTCTCAATCCCGTAATTTTCTCCTATTAAAAGTAAATAATATATAAAATTTATTATTTTATCTTATTTAATATGTTTCTTTTTCAACAAATATAATAATCAAACTACTATATTATCATTAACTAAATTTTAATGTAAACAAAATTAACGTACCAACTTTTAATCTTGCAACGAAATTCTATTTAATCAAATTTTTGATTAATTTTAATAATAATTTAATATAGGTTAGTTATTTTTTGTGAATATTAACATAAAGGTATATTAGAAAAAGTTGAAACAAAAATTATAGTTTAATTATGTTAATCAAATTTTCTTAATTTTATGTGCAAATCAAACGAGGACACAAATTATGATACAAAACAAATATTTAATTAACCGAAAGTAGTTAAATCAATGAAAATAAATGGTATTTTCAACTTAATTTTAGCTTTAAAATTAAAAGTTCAAAATATAAAGTAACCGTTAATAAATTGATAATACCACCTTAATAACGGGTATGACAATAGGTATGTAACTTAATTTAAATTTATTTTATAATCAAAGATGGGTTAAAAATAAATAAATAAATAAAATAAAATAACTTTCCTAGGATTCGAGGTCCTATGATATCCACGAAGTAACAGAAACTTCGTTATGAACAATACTCATCTATTAGGATGTTTTGTCTTCATCCAATGACAAATTATATGTGTATGCTTTTAACTTCATACTAATAGTAATATATGCAATATTGGTATAGTTCAAACTTAGGTATTTATGATTTGTCTTCCTTTGTAACATGTTTTTTATTTTTTGAATATGATTTTTTTTTTTTCAGAATTACATATGGTACCTATATCTGAGTTGGATATGAAAAATTATTGTAATATTAAATCTGTTATCGAACAAATAATTCAATTAAAAAAATCGTACAATTCGTTACCGTAATGAAGAAAGTAATTTAAGCTCTCGAGATTCAAAAGGTTATTAAATTTAAATTGAATATTTGAACTACATGATAACTTATTGATTGAGATGGTAAATAGTTTCAATCATCGTAAGAATGATAATTTAAATTCAATTTCTAAATAGTTCATTTTTTCAGAGAGGTAAAAACTTTTATGCTTTACGATCTAAATAGTAATTACACCACTTGATTTTTAAAAAATTAAAAGAAAAAAAGAAAATAACACTTTAATTACATATCAATGAAATATTCAATATAATGCTTATGACAAAAATATGTTTTGTATATCTCTTGGCTCTGAGCTGAGTTAACCTCTAGTGTTTAATAAACAATATGATTGGATATCTTTAATTCTTACATTTTGGGTCCATGAATTATAGCATAGTATGCATGTTCAAATTTACAAAATTACCTTAGGAAGTGAAAATGAGGAAGGGAATGTATGAATATTATAGAGAGACTATAAAATGAAAAGGAAAATTTTCATAATGAAATGTTTTGATGAGTAATAATAGAATGTAATAAAAGCATTTTTAATGTAATGTTTATACTAAAGATGTGTTGTGGAATATATATATATATATATATATTTGTACAAGTAATAAAAGCATTTTTAAGTAATGTTTTATACTAAAGATGTGTTGTGGAATATAGTATATATTATATTATATATTTGTATCTTTGTGGCATATTCATAGAGAAAGTAGAAATACAAAGATGAAGGACAAGTAAGTTGGGCTAAATAATTTGATAAATGCAAAAATCAATTGCCCCACCAGAATCTTTTATGTTTCCCTTCATGGATTTTGATATCACCTATAAGAAATCAGGACATTTCTTAAAATTGGACAACTTACTTTGGACTACTCTCTTCATTTAGTATCAACTTTAAATTTGGAGTGTTTAATGTAATAAAAGCATTTTTAATGTAATGTTTATACTAAAGATGTGTTGTGGAATATATATATATATATATATATATTTGTATCTTGTGGCATATTCATAGAGAAAGTAGAAGACAAAGATGAAGGACAAGTAAGTGGTGCTAAATAATTTGATTAAATGCAAAAATCAATTGCCCCACCAGAATTTTTATGTTGTCCCTTCATGGATTTTGATATCACCTATAAAAATCAGAAATTCTTAAAATTGACAACTACTTTGGACTACTCTCTTATTAGTATCAAACTTAAATTGAGTGTTTGTATTTTGGAACTTGACAATGTAGGGCATATATATATATATATATATTAATGGATTTAATTGGCTGCTCCTATCATTCAAATAAATAGGATCAATCCACTTCCAATATGAATCTTCACATACCTTATTTGAAGAGGTTTTCGTCTCAAATTTTTTATAATGTTAATGAAAAAAAGAACTTTGCTAAATAGCAGATATTGTATCTGGCACAATTTGTACACATTGTCACATTTTTAAGGACATTATAGTCTTTTCACTCATATTGGATTTGGTATAAATTGTGCCAAAAATATTTTCTAATGACGAAAATTAAATGAAGAATGCATTATCTAATAGTATGTTATGAAATATACTAATGTTGGTTGAGATTCCTTCTTTAACCAAAGATCTCAGCTTCGAGTTTTCAGTATGGAAATTGCAAATTGAGAGAGTCGCTCCTACAATACTCGAACCAAATCCAGTAAGAGCCTAGTGGAGTTTTGGATACCGGTAGTTATAGAACGAACAATTACTAGGTTATGAAATATGAGACAAATGTGTTGCTTTCTAGTCTATCTTCTTTCTTTGAACCTACACTATGACTATAATTTCCCTTATCTATTATCCTGCTATTGGAATTCCATCTGAATTCCTAGCTAATGCCCCGGCACCCCCACCACCCGCCCCCACTCTTTACTCTCTGTTTGGTTAGAGGTGGAGGAGGGGTACATAACGGGAAATGGGAGGTACTAAGATATTTATTCTTGTTTGAAAAGAGGTGAGTTAAGGAAGGACGACGGTATATAAATAAAGGTAAATTTTACCCTCCTTTACCTCTTAAATATCAAATTTTGCTACACCCAATTTAGAGTGTAAGCAAGGAGAGGGAGAGGTAACTAAGTATTTTTATACTACTTTTAATTATTTAGCCCTCTTTTCCCATCTTTCCAAACACAAAAAATATGCATTATCTCTCTTTAGCTTTCCACTAATTCACCCCTTTTCAAACATCAATATTATTTTATTATAGCTCTCCCCACCCTTCCCCCTCCTTACCCTTCCATTAATTACCTTTCTCTCAACCCATCCAAACAGAGTGTTAAGGGGGAGGGGGGGAAGAAAGGGTACACCTATAAATAGTAGCTTTGATGAACGTACTAAAATAAACTTAAATTATCCCTATACTCATCCTCCATTAAAGAACACAGCTTTCTTTAATTTTTCTTTTTCCATGGAGACAAAACCCACGTTAGATATTCACCTTCCTCCTGGATTTAGGTTCCATCCATCAGATGAAGAGCTTATAGTTCACTACCTGAAGAACAAAGTTGCTTCAAGAACCCTTCCTGCTACTATTATTGCTGAATTAGATCTCTACAAGTATAACCCATGGGACTTACCGAGTCTGTATTCTATGTACTGCACATTTTTCATTCTTCTGTCGTTTCTATATCTATTTACTAACAGATTTTTAATTCTTTCTCGGTTTTGAAATAGAGAAAGCTTTGTTTGGAGATGATGAATGGTATTTCTTTACACCAAGAGATAGAAAGTACCCTAATGGAGCAAGACCCAATAGGGCAGCTGCTTCTGGTTATTGGAAGGCAACTGGGACTGATAAACCAATTCTTACATCACGTGGGACTCTAAGTATTGGTGTCAAGAAGGCTCTTGTCTTCTACAAAGGTCGTCCTCCGAAAGGAATTAAGACAGATTGGATTATGCATGAATATAGATTGCTTCAGACAACAGTGGCGTATAATCCTAAAAGAAAAGGTTCCATGAGGGTAAGTGACCATTTCTGTTTGTAACTGTGAGATTATAAATTCGAACCGAAATAATCAAAGAAAAACTAACACAAATAAACGAATTTCTGGCTGTTAAAACCTTTTCCTTTTGTTGCAGCTAGATGATTGGGTGCTTTGTCGAGTTAGACAAAAAAGCAGTCTTCCAAGAAGCACCTGGGAAGATCGAAATAATCCTGAAGGGTACTTGCCAGAGGTGAATGAAACCAAAATTGAGACAATCAAAAACTATCTATACAGCGATTGTCCGATGTTACCTTACATTTTTGCCTCGCAGAATCTTTCTTGCATTGAAAAAGCATCAAGCATCTGCTTACAGAGTAGTGATTATTACCCTGATACTATTGACACTGATCATTTCGAGGTTACTTCTTACGATGTAGATACTGATCAGCAAGAAAATTTTGCTACAACTGTTAGTAAAAATGGAACTGATATGAACTTTTATGGATTGATAAACAACCAGTCAAACGTTAGCAATTTCAATTGTGATCCATGGAATTCTCATATGCAATGTCAAGACTAAAGAGCTTGATCACTTGGCCTTAAAAAGGAAGTGAATCTATCAACAAAGCTGGGGGTAGCTGTGTATATATGATCATATGTCGATTAATTATTAGCTAATGCACCCGTATATATAATATATACATATTTTCCTACCAAAACATAGATATGATGTTCCTTTTCGTCATTTACTGTATTTGTATAATATGTATATTTTATAAAGAAAACTTGATCATCGGAGTCAGACCTTTGTTTCCAACCATTTTGTTCCAAAGCTTAACTTGTACGATTTGTTTTGGTTTCCTGTCTTTGGTTTTCAATTTTTATGGCAATTTTTTTACTTTTATTTCCTTTTGTTCTTCGAGAATATACTTCTATTTCCGATTCAATTGAAATAGGTTGAGCACATACATACCGGACTTAGAAGTACTTCATAGGGACCAAACAAGGAATAAAAAAAATTATAAAATTACATGATGGTTTGAGACGATTAAAACAATATATAGCTGATTCCTTAAATCTTTACATGAAGGACAAATACAAAATTTCCAAGCATGAGAAAAATCAAAGGTAAAATACAAGGAACACAAGTCTCTCCACATACATTATCAAGCCACAAAAAGCCAACACCATAGGACCAAGAAATTAGGTTCAGTAGCACATCGATTATGACTCATCACTTCTTCAGCACACTGCAAATAAAAAATGCTTCACCTCAAACAAATTCATATTGGGAAACCAAACAAACATTAACCAATAGTAATTTGATCGATCCATCATCAAAAGGCAAACAAGGCAGCATTGAGATGTAAATATACTTCTCTCTCTCTCTCTCTCTCTCTCTCTCTCTCTCTCTCCATGAAGCCATATTTCCTTCTTAGGTTTCTCATTAAGGGTTCCTCCATACTTACACAATTAAAGAGTTTAAAGTTCTCTCATTAGATTGAACCCCTTCTTGATTATAAAATTAATAAACCGAGTCTGAGTGCAACATTCAGAGCCCAAAAAGAAGTTCCAACCTTTCTATTATTTGGTAACACTTCTACCAATTTTTGCATAAGCAAGGACATACAACAACACTTTTAAAAATTATAAATAGCAAGATACTAGATCATCTTGTCTTATAAGACAGTCCTACGTACAAAAATAAAAATTTAAACAAGAAAACTCCATTGTTAGCCTTGTCCACAAGATAAATAAATACTAGATAATCGAGTTAGCTCCTGAAATTGTTTGCGAAATCTGACAGCACAATGCTACTCTAAGTTTGACTCGTCCTAGCTTTGATACATAAAGTTTTAGCAAACCCATTTCTTTTAACTTGACAATCATGGTGAGATCTAGATTCTAGAAAAAGTAAGTATGCCCAAACGTAACTAGAAACTAGAACACTTGTTATGCGTATGAATAATGATGAGATATGTATTGGCTACTCATGAACTAATTGAAACTTACTTGTATAGATAGGCAGCAATTCCCAGAATTATGCACAACAGAATAATATCAATGCAGAAATTTCTGCTAGATCTCAACTGAAATACATAAAAAATATGTGTTAGATCCAGCTGAAATGAGTGAAAAAATAAGCTTCACAAAGTTGCTGCTCAATCACCTGGTTAACAGTGTGTTTAAGTCTAACATTAGTATTCTTAAGGTCAGATGTTGCCTTGTCCACCTGCAAGAGTGCATATAGAATACAGTTTAAATGAACTGAAAATTCTAACAGTGCAACATTGAACTTTTCAAGGGTATGGCAGTGCTTCTCACCTTTGTGTCGATTTCATCCATCAAAGGAACTTGTCTATCCAACTCCTGCAATCACACATAATACAACAAACAGAAAAAAATTAAGTAATGCAAATGAGAAAATAATAACAAGCCAAATAAATTATCAAATGCATCACACATGACAATCACGACCACATGCAAGCATGAACACCAAAAAGAAAAGAGCTCAACAGACAAAATATTTTATGAAAAATAGAGTACCTCATTCATATCATGAGCCATATTCTTCAGAGTATCCAAACCTTCTGAAATCATATCCAAACCTTGATCCTGTGGGAATGTCAAAATAGGTGATTAAAAGAACATAGTACCATAGCTACATCTCAGACAACAATGGGCAAGCAATTCTCCCTCTAGTGCAGAAGAGGAAGGCCTGTAAAAACTTCCAACTCTCCATGTTACTTGCCTGCTTGATTCTACGCATTTCATATTCCTGCCTGAATTGACTTGATGTTTCAGTTTCTTGAAAGTATTCACTTTCATAGTGACCATCTGTGGAAAAAAAGAGACATGCAAGTAAAAGATGATTATAAATTACAGAATATCATTTATCACCCCCTAAAACTATAGAAGAAAGGCAGTCATTTTTCATAGATTAAGAAGGAGCAAGTAAGAACAGCAATTCATGAAACAGCTAAATATCGTTCAGAATTGTTGTCCACTTCCCACATAGTGAGACAATTTATTTCAATACAGTGTGCAAATCACCTGAATCAAATTTGATTTCAGTACGGGTAACTGAAGAAGCCCCCCAACCTCCAGATTGTTTGGGAGGAGCTGCAGTCCCATCAGGTATAGCTTGAATCCTATCAGGTAAAGCAAGGACCAAATCATTTCGGGCAGTAAGTTCTTCAGTCGATAGCCCTTTAACCTGTCAAGAGATTATATGCCTTGCATCACTCATGGACCAAAGTAGTCAAATTCTATAAAACAAAATAAAAAAGTAAAATTCGTCACAGATACAAAACGACAACTGACATAATTCCATTTCCTTTATAGTATTAAAAGCCCAAAACATTCATCAAACATTAAGTTAAAAGGAAATATTAAATCATAAATGGAGAGTTAAGGACAAACATTGCAAATGTACTATGATTTATTCTGATTCATATATGGATCAAAGGATGCAAAATTCATCAATCCAACAGAAACTGTGTCATAAAAAAATTTAAAATTATTCATTGTCATTCTCATATATCCACCAGCACAAGTAATTAAATCCACAAATCATCAAAAGAGAAAGGATACTGACCTTCTTTATAGCCAATCTCTGCAACTTAGGAACCTCCTCTAACAATCTTGCCTTTGTTCTTCGAATCTCCGCATTCAAAGCAACTGCAGATGCCTTACTTTTCTCTTTCGAAGCAAGCTCCGCTTTCTGCATATCGAATAGCTAACTAAATCACTAGAATTAAGGGGAAAATCAATCCTTAAGAGCTAATTCTCGTTTCAATTTCGAGTTAAGCTAAGTGTAGAGCTCACTGATTTCGAACCAAAATTACTCAATTTAGCCAGATTTCAATAAAGAGGTAAGAAATCAATAAAAGCAGAGAAAGCGAGATCGAAGTGACCTGAAGAGCGGTTTCGATATCAGATTCAACAGAAGCGTAGAGGCGAGCGAAGGCATCGTCGCCGGCGACATTGAGATCCTTCTGCTTTTCAACGTCGTATTTGTCGTACTTTTGGCAGATCGCGTCTACTCTGGTTAAAATGTCGATGACACTCATGTTGCAGACTCCTCAAAGATTCGAATCGTAGAAACTGTACAATAGCAACTGAGAAGGAAATTGCAGAGATAAAGAGAAAAATTGGACTCCAATTTCTTTGTTCGGTGCGGTTTTTGAAAAACTATCTAAAGACTAAAGAGGAAAGACGAACTACCAGCCTGTACGATCAATCCGTCTGCTGTTTTTTTTTTTTTTTTTTTTTTTTTTTTTTTTTTTCTAATTCTGTTTTTTTTTTTTTTTTTTTTCTAATTTTACTTGCTAGCAAAATTGAATTTGGCTGTTAAAAAGTAAAGGGTTATTTTACTAACTAATTAATTGAAATTATATAACAATTATGGGAAGTATTAAAAGGTTATAATCGTGTAGTCTATAATATTTTTTATTTAAAACTTGGCTAATTATTTTAATTTATATGCTTAATAAGTTATTTCGTTTAATTTGATGAATTTAGTTTTGATCGCCACGTACCCTTTATGTCTCAGAATATAAATCGTTTAAAATTTTTGTACTGAGATTAATGAAATAATTAATTCTCCTGTATTATAAGAAAATTAATAATAATTTGAACAAATTATCATTTATCTCAAAACAATAATAGCTTGAGAAAATAGTTATGGTATTTAATATAAATAAGAGTAATATTGAAAAACATCATTTATTACTCATTAAAATATTTAAAACCATTTATATTTTGAACAAAATAAGGAAAATAACTCATTGTCCCCTGAATTTGGCTCATTTATATAATTTGCCCATATTTCAATTTTGTCGCCAATTTGCTCTACATGGCTCTATTTGTTCCCGTAAAATAACTTGCAGGAAAATATTTTCCATAATTTTCCTTTGTTTGGAGAGTCCAGAAAAATAAGTCAACGGAAAATATTTTCCTGGTCAAAGGAAAATTAAGTTATTTTTTAAGCACAATAACTTTCAATTTTCTAGAGAATAAAATATTTTTCAAACATTGATAAACCTTATAAATTCATATTTTTTTAATTTATTAATTATTGTAGTCATTACCACCAGTTACTATTTAACACCGACTATTGGTGACTTTCATAATTTACATTTTTTTTTTTTTGCATTATTCTCATTTTTAACAATAAAATTTTTTAAATTATAAAATTTCTATTATATTAATATTTTTATGCTCTTATGAGATAAAGATTTTAATATTTTTAACTAACTTTTAATATTACAACCAAACAATAGAAAATAAGTCATTTAGAAAATATTTTTCAACAAATTATTTTCTTGCAAGTTATTTTATGAAAACAAACAGAACATAAATTTGCCTAAAAATGTCAAATTGTTTATAATTTTATAAGGTTAGCGCGCATGAAAGAGCTTCTCCCTTCTCAGGAGGTCAGATACAGGAATCGATTTAAGCACTCCAACACAACATGTTAAAACAAAATATATATGGAGGTTTTCAATTCCAATTCAGTTCAAAACAAAGTCACAAATCGATTTTACCTTCGTGAATATGCAAAAGTAGAATCTTATACCCATGTTCTTATCACTTCAAGACACCCCCAATGCGGGGTCTTTATACTACATTTATAATAGCAAACTCCCCCCAATTGATAATATAGCTAAGAAGTTCCTTTGTTTCGTGAGGTAGTTGAGGATGATAGTTGAGAACTAGAGCTCATGTTTTCTTGCTCTCTTAATTGCATTTTCTCTTTAAATAGGGATTTGGAATTGCACGAGAGATTTATTTATGTATTTGGTGGTTAAAAAGAAAAAAATTAAAGTGGTGTATGATTGATTATAAAAAAAAGGGAATTAAATTGACCTTTAACATCGACACTTTATTCTATTTTCGATCCATACAATTTTTATTTATATAAATTGATAAATTGACGTATGGGTGATTTTGATGTATATAGATTTTCTAATTTCTTCCGTAAACTAATAAGAAAGATCTTATTTAAAACAATATATTCTTTCTCTTTCATAGAAAATATATTTATTTTTCCAATTTATAATTGTCTTTTTATTTTGGAGGAAGGTAATCTTTTTTTAGTTTCTTATTCTACTCGCATTTAACGTGCATCTTTGTTAACAAAATACATTAATATTACTATTAATCAAATTTTAAAATGAATAATTAATTAAAATATGACATTCCATTTTCTTAAATTAGGAAAAAAAAAATTAGAAGCTATAGTTTAATCATTTAACTATAATTTTTACTTTGTGGAAGTCAAAATTGATCTATCTTTACTTATTGATAGCAGATTGCCTCACCATGAATATTTTTTACTTTTGAAAGTTCCTCCTTCTGATTTTAATTAATGGTTACTTCGTGATATTGCTGGTGTAATTCACTCTAAAAAAAATTCACGTAATTTTTTTTATATTAACTATAAATATTTTTAATTTACTGAATTAAAATTAAATCATATTTGCATCGAGTCGATGCGCTAAAAGATAAACTTTATAATTTTTAATTGCCTTTAACTCAAAATATGATAAAATTTTTCATAACCTTAATCGATCATAAAAAGAAAAGCAAGACGTGCCAAACTGATTAACTCCTTGCAACCTTAATTAATCATCAAAAACACCAAAAGAAGACAAATATTATATTTTTATACTAGTAAAATTGCATTACAATTTACAAAATAATAACATAAAAAGTACACGTGTCAGTATAGCCTTGGCTACTAGTACCACTCTTGTATATTAGTAGAAAATAATATAAATTGCTTGTGGTTGGCAACTTGGCAAGAAACATGAACCTCTTCCAAATTTGTTATTTTTATTGTACTCAGCACAACACTCTGCGGTCCTCTCCTCACCCATGACTATCATTCCTGAGTTTATGCTGGCATCTAATTTTTCATGCGCTCTTTTAAATTTACTATAACACCCTCGTATCTTTTTTTTTTTTTTTTTAATGTCATTTTTCTCTTTTTTTTTTTTTTTTCTAATGTCATGTCACAATTATGAGTTAATTAAAAGAATAACCTTTACTATGAATTTTTCTATTGTTTTAAAAAGTGGTAATTTTGGTATTAAAGTTTACTAAGACATGATAGTATTTTGTTAAATTTTTTTAGTACTAATAAAGTTATTCCATATGGGTGAGCATACTTTAAAAAGATGGAAATAAATTATTTTCAGTTATTCGGTTTTCGGTTTTCAATCTTTGAATTGGTTATTACAAAATAATTATTTTAAAAGTGAAATTGAACCAATTGATTCGATCCATTTTTCAAGTTTCGGTGCAGTTCGACTTCAACAAGAGCTAATTTGTTTTTATAATTCAATTCGAACCGAACCATCCATTTGTACTTCTAATAAATACCTCAAAAATAGATAAATTCATTATCATTAATGGGGCTCCCACCCTCTTCTTTTTTCCATTTAAATTGTTTATGTGCATTATAGGATAGGATAAAAAAAAAATGGTATCCCAATTCATTGGATTAGGATTGACCGTGTTTACACTCGGTCGGCCTACTAAGAGGTAAGCCATTTCTAATGAGTATTTGCTTCATTCATAAGTATTAAATACTCAACCTCGTTGAAGAAAATATTAAAGAGACGTTTGTCGAACCATTTATCCCAATACTTATTTAAATTTAAAATTTTCTCATTTTATTTTTTAAGTAATTAACAATGGCAAAAGCCTTAAATTTTGATTGATTGTTTAAATTATTATATGATTAAAAATTTAGGAATTTAAAAAATTTTAAATTTTTAGTATATATTTTCAAACTGTATTATCTATTTTTAAATATTTTAATAAAAATCAGAAGGAAACAAATAAGGGATCATTTATTTATTCTTGCGATCTCTTTTCATTAGAATTAAAGAAATATAGCGGTCAAGGCATAGTTTGTCTAGTGGTAAGTGCATTACAATCTGACAATAGTCCATGTTCGAATACCTTTCCCAATATATACCCATGTGTCGCGAATACCTTTTCCCAATAATATATATATATATATAATATATAATTATATATATATATATATATATATATACTATATAAGAAAGAACATTAGAGGAAATATAAAAAAAAATAAAAATAGTGATATTTTAAATGACTTACTAACTATTAATCTTGATATTCATGAGGCGGACCATATGTTAAAAATTAAAGCAAGTATTTTTTTAAAGGCTAGAATATATAAATTCACCCCATGAACTTTCTTATCTTAAACCTTGCGGACCACCTTCAAACTTTTTATTTTAAAGCCATCAAACACTTCAACTTATACACACCTGCCATCTATGCTAAAAACCACTTTAATTTTCAAAATTTATTGATTATCTTAACACTTTACACTTGCAACAATTTTGTTTCAATTAAGCACTTATTAAAAATTTATAATTATGAAAAGATTATTTCAAAATTCATGTTAACTATATCTCAAGCGATGATTTTACAGATACAAAAAGCCAAAACTCCTAAAAATTATTAATTATTTTAGTGCGTCGCGAAAACGAGTGTAATATTTATTAAAAATTTATCAAATTCAAGTGCTACAATAGATCTTCAGTCTAAAATTAAGTTGCGTAAAATTAAAAGTTGCAACAGTTGTAAGTAAAATACGTATATGCATGCAGCCATTTTTACAGACCAAGATAAAAAATTTATTTTTATAAAATAAAGCAAACAAAAGATTAAAAAATGGTTAATACAGTTGCACTGGTAGCCCGGTAACGGTGGGCATTTAACCAGCCAATTTCTCCTCCCTTATTTTCTTCAACAAAGGCCAAAACGCAACTCACCCAACCGCTTCTATTTCTTGGTTTCCTTCGCGAGGAACGAAAACCTCTCCTTTAACTTTTTTTTCCCTCTCTCCTCCAAGGGCCGTCATTCTTACACGCTCCTCCTTTTTCCGCACGAGCTTTAAGGTTACTTTTCCGGTTGATCATCATCGGAGTAATGCATTTTTATGGCACTTGTAAGGACTTATTCTCGGGTATTAATTGTTTATTGGTTTGATGAACTCATGTATATTTATTGAATTTTTGATAGATCTCAGCCCTGATTCATCTATCCGTTAGTTTGATCACCTTTTTCCTTTTGCTTTTGATCCTTTGATTATTGCTTTCTCATGGCTTTTATTACTTGTTTTTTTTTTTTTTTGTTAGTTATATTGTTCTTGTCATTCCAATTGTTCGTTTTATCATTGGAATCGTTGGTTTTTTACAGTTCTTTATTTTGTGAATAGTTGTTTGAGTTCAGCGTTCGATAAATGATT